ACTTATGTCACCAAAAAAACTCTGCGAGCCAATTCCGACGCCGAAGATGCTGTAATTCAAGCTAAGAAGAAACCCAAGAATAAGGCAACCGATCTGGGCAAGCTTCGGGATTACTATGGTCCACCTTTCCGTGATCCTGGTGATGTAAGTGTTATTTTTTAATTATTGTAATCAAAATGAATATTAAAGTCTTATCATTCGGTTCCTATCTTCTTCCACTTCCTTCTCTTCATTCACATTTATCGTTAAAATGATTCCATCTTCTCTTCCAACCCTCTTTTGCAAACAGGACATAAACAAGCCCCCCTTAAGTTATCCCTGTCAATTCTGTCACCGAGATGAGGATAACCCAGTCAGAGTTAGTTACACCAACATGACCGGCAACCTGAAAGTTCATAGAGACGGATCAACTGCAGATGGCCGGTCAGATGTTGGGTGCACTGGACGACTTCGAGCCAAAGAAGAAGAACCCGATCTCGAAATTCCTCTATCAGTAGCAGAAAATCGACAAGCAGAAAAAAAATCTGGACCTCTTGATTCTTTCGTTGTCGCCACAAAGAAAGTACAGTTCTCAAACACAATTCTCAATCAAATGGCCTGCATGTGGCTCATTCGCCACGCTCAGCCTTGGAGCCGGGTAGAAGATCCGATCCTTCGTGGTATGGTGTGCTACCTTCGAAAGGAAGCACATCTAAATGGTCGTAGGTGGGCGGCTGACGAGGCCAAGAATATCAATGTTTCTCTCAAAGAATCGGTTTTCTCTGAGCTGAAGGTGAGGTTTCTTTAACTAACTCAGTCATTTAATCCACATTATACATCACTAATTGTAATTTCACTCATTAATAGGCGCTGAAATCGAAGATAAATTTGGTTCATGATGGTTGGACAACCAAAGGTAACCGCCATGCGTTCATTGGCGCGTCGGTCACCTTTGTCGACGACGATTGGAACTACCGGGTTCGTCACCTCACCATGAAGGTTGTTGAATGGCATCACCACGGACCGTGGCTGGCAGAACCAATCGCCAACCTCCTGATCAAACGTGGCCTTTACCAAAAGATAAGCGTTTCTTTTCCTTCTTACTCATCTTTATATCTTATCATCATCACCATATGCTGACACTTTGTTTTATGTGTCTTACTTGCTCTGCCAGACTACAGATTCGGGGTCTAACAATAAGACCATGGCTAAAGAAATGCACCGACAATTTCTTGAAGAAGATAACCCTTGGTACCAGTGGAATCCGCAATCAATGCACATATTTTGCTTCTGCCACAAGTTGGCATTGATTGTCAACGCGGGTTTGGAGGCGCTGGGAGTGAAAGCACCTCCTCCTATCAAGGTGAAGCAAAAAGACCGTGGAGTCTTCCCATCGATTGGCACAATTTCCGAGGAGGATGAGGAAGAAGAACCAATTAGGTAAGCTTTGAAATTGATTTTGTATTGATTGGGATTATGACTGACTAACTTCCTTTATAACCTCTCAATATCAAACCATCAAATTCTACTGACGCTGAAACTGATGGTCCTGAGCACGATCCTCAAGAGCTCGACGATCCACCGGCTGCTGCTGAGATAGTTGCAGAACTGGACGACGAGGGTGAATGGAATTCTGCAGATGCAGAAGAAGAAGATAATTATCCTGAGCTCACAACGGTCAGTAAAGAAGTTTTACCAACACACCGTCGAGAAGCAAATAATGTTGACTACATATTGCGAAAGGTGTGTATTTCTTTTTCTTCCTACTCTTCTTCCTCATTTTCTTTTTGTCTTGTTCTCAAGATCTGATTATTTTAAACAGGTCGACTTCATCACCAGGCGAATTACTTGTTCTGCAGCCTGGCGAAATGAGTTTAAGCGCGTGGCCGAGCAGAAAGGTTTCAAAGGTTCGTTGATTGCGGGGTATGGGATACGTTGGAATATAAAGTATCAAAGTCGGCATAAAGCTTGGTTGGCCAGAGCGGTAAGCACCTTTGTTCTTCTTACTCTCTTGATTTGTGCCCAAGTTGACATTTCGTTTTCATCTGCAGGTAATTGATGAACTCTGTCGAAACGATTTGAATTTGGTACACTCCAAAAATCGACCTGCACGAAAAAATAAAAAACCTCACGGATATTTCCATGAACTCGAGATGACCACATCTGAGTGGGCTCAAGTACGCAAAATCAACAACGAGCTTGAGGTAATTTTTCTTCTATGAATTTCTTCTTTCTTTGTTAACATTAATGATGCTGTGCTATTGCTGACGTTTGATTAATTGTCGATCAACTGGTCAGCCATTCCTCAAGACAACTTTGCTTATGGAAGGGGACGGACCGACAGGATGCATGGTGATTCCACAATACGTGGAACTTCGTGACTCTCTCGACAAGAAGATTGAGCCTTTAAGCACCACCGATGCCATTTACCCGATGCTTGCAAAAATGAAGGAGAAGACTGTTGAGTATTTGAACGAGGCCCTTCAATGCGAAACCCTCATTCTCGCGACGTTGCTCCATCCCTTCTTCCGACTGTGGTTCTTCTCCAAGTGGTTTGGAGATACATCTGCAGTAACGATGAATGCTGAAGCCATTCTACGACGTGTTCATCGGAAGTACGAACTCGATCATCCTGCAAACGACAAATCCAACCCCATCCCTCGTACCGAGGGCAGTCAAACTCCTGCAACATCTTCACCGAGGCCACTCATCTTTTGCGAAGACTCTGATAATGAAGCTGACATTGAGGAACCCGAAGATATCCAAATCAAGAACTATTTAAACCGACTGGATAAGATGAGAGCTGACATGTATGATATTCAAGATCCAGCCGCAAGTCTCAAATGGTGGAACGTGAGCTCAATTGCATTGTTTTTGTAATATCCTTGTTGTAGATACATACTGACTTTCATTGCATCCCAACCGATACTTAGAAGCATGCAAAAAGTTATCGCATCCTAGCCCTTATGGCCAAAGACTATCTGGCCTCAACAGGGTCCTCGTGCGCTCCTGAGCGCATCTTTTCCTGCGCGTCAGATGTCTGTTCAAGTAGCCGAGGTGCTCTAATTGCTCGGACAATCGAACGGCTGGTGTCCAGCAGGTTATGGTTGAGGGAAGGTGTTCTTTTGGGGGAGGATTATGAGGAGCTCACCCAGATTCTGAAGGACTTGGGAATAGTATTATAACAAATTGTTTTTTATTTTCCTTCCAATTAATTTGATTTCTCTCGAGTTACTTTTCTTATATTAAAAAATACTTTCCTCACTTTTCAAACAACTATGCTACAAATCTATCTATCTTATGCCTTATTTTCCTTTACTTATGCTATGCTGTTCCTCTATCACACATTCCAATTGTTTATATTTTGTTTATTTTGTCAATAATTCAATTCTACGCTTGGGTTGCGGATCAGCGTTGCTGTTACGCTTGCGTTGCGTTCCGAGCCGATGTTGCTCCGGAGCGTTGCTGATTTCACATGTTGCGTTGCTGGTCGGTGCAACGCTTCAACATGGCGGGTTTTGGTCGTTTTTGCAACCGCAACGCTGCCAAGAGCACCACCGCAACATATGTACTTTCGGATGCAACGCAACGCAAAAGACGGATGCAGCGCGTTGGTGCGTTGCTTACCCGGTGTTGATTGAAGCCTTGACTTTGCTTTCTTGACAGTTTTTGACTTCTTTCTCTTTGTTCCCTTCCTTATGGAAAGCTCAAACATACAAAGATATTTAAGCTTAATGCTGTGGTATAAATAACTCAACTTGGATGATGTGGCACCAATCCTAAAAGCAATAGCAGAAATTTTTATTGGAAAGTTTTTGGAAAGAATCATTGAACATGAGTAACTGATACTATCAACTTAGTTAGATTCTGGTAATGTTTTGCCTCCAGATTCAGAGGGAAAGCAACATTCAACAGATGAGCAAGGAACCATATGCATGCATATCAAAACCAGACCTATAGCTTTTCAGATACTGCAAGTAGGATGACCACAAGTGGCCGTGAGTGAAATAGGTGAAGATAGTTAAGAGTACTGTTTTCCAGATCATAATTGTATTGGAAATTGGTTTAAATTGATATAATTTATCAATGAAGGGCCTATTTCCATTATGTCTCTTGAGTTGCAATGTGGCAGGAAGTGTTTCTTCAGCGGGCCCACCTATTCCCTAGTAGTCTTAAAGTTGTTGAGACAGTTGCATCTTAGCTGGATTTGAAAGGGGAATCTCCAAGATTGAATAGATTGATGATCATGGTCGTAATGAATAATTACTACAAATCATAAGTAAATAATAGAAACACATAATGAAAATTGGACCCCAATACACATACATGGTTGTTAGGAAAATGTGGTTTTGAAATTTTTGAAAGTCAATGGCTTTGCAAATGAAATAACTTGACATTGATTTTTTGACAAAGTGATGTAACTGTGCGCATTGACAAAGTGGAAAAAGTGTTGTGGTAGATCAACTAGTACATATGCAGGCTAGATGGGAAGTGGCACAAGGATGGAGTAAATATGATTTCAATAGAAAAAGACAACTGATATTGATGATAGAGTCCAAGAGTTCAAGAGAGGAAAGCCTTTGACAGAGATAAAACTAACAATGATTGTACATTTGTGGAGCTATGATCAACTCAACAGTCAGCAAATGAGCAGGCAAGATTGAAGAGGTGTTTTGGTCTTCTTTTGCAGAAACAGGCAACGTGTCGTGACTTGAAGCCGCATGAAAAATCTAGCCCTAACCCTAATGGATTGAATTCATACAGCTGAAAGTCAAAACCACCATCGTCTTTCAGATTTTATCAATTTCATTCACCACAACATCAAATTGGAACTGAACCGACTTCATCAAAAATTCAATCAACTAAACTTTGTTCAACTTTTGAAAATAATCATCTCAAGATGGCAACTGAACCTTCATACGATCTAACACTAGTTTGTTCTCATTCCAAAAAACCCGATCTCAAAGAACCGAAAAGCTTTTTTTAAGAAAAATATCTAATCGATTTTCATTTTATAACAGCGTTTGATTCCTCAACTCGATCGACACTTGGTCTTACCTTTACTCGAATTGTCAGTTCTGCTCTTCCAATCAACATACTAGAATCGATTTTTTGGGTTGGCTTGATTTGATTCTTTATTTTTTCACAATTTTGATGCAGTTTGGATTCAAATGAAATTTATCCACATGATCAAGTTTTAAAAGCAAAATATGATGCTTTAAAAGAAACAAATATGATTACTTATCTTAGTGGACTTCATAGAGAAATCAATGGATTAGATGAAGATGCACCTGTACCAAAAGGTAAACCAAATTCCTGTTTCTTTTCTAGGTGAATTGTGGCTTTTTTTTTAAAACTGATCCAATGATTTTTTTTCTTGATTAGAATTTATTCAAAAGGAAGATGAAGTGATGCTTAAATTAGATGAACTGAAAGCTTCTGTTGAAAAGGTCATACTCATTTCAGATTAAACTGATCTTCGATGTATCTTCAAGCTGATCGTTCTTTTCACTGAACATATGATTCTGATCCGCATTTTTTTCGATCAATTTAGGTCATGGATGTCATCTCAGCTCCAGATGTTGTAGCAGCACTCAGACAAGATAAAGCCCAGAACTTATCATACCTAGAAAAGGAGCACAATGTGAGTCTCGAATCAAACCTAATCCCCTACTTCCCACCTAATCTTTACGCGATTTGATTGGTTTCTTTAGGTCACTCTTTCACAAATCGCTGTATTATATCAATATGGACAATATCAATATACGATTGGAAATTATGCAGGAGCATCTGATTATCTATACCATTTCCGAGTTTTATCAACAGATAATGATTTAGTTTTATCATCCTTATGGGGTAAATTAGCATCTGATATTTTAGAAGGAGCCTTTGAAGCAGCTCTAGAAGAATTAAATCGATTGAAAGAACAATTAGATCAAAGAACCGGTTATGGGAATCCACTTCAATCTTTACAACAACGTACTTGGTGGTTACATTGGAGTTTGTTTGTTTATTTCAATTTAGAAAAAGGTAGAGATGCATTAGTAGATACTTGGTTAGGTCAAGGTTATCTGAATACCATTCAAACTAGTTGTCCTTATTTACTTAGGTATCTAGTAGTAGCTTTAATCGTTTCAGGTAGAGCTGGTGCAGGAGCACTCAAAGGTCCTACTTCATCTCGTGGTTCACGTGAAACTGTTAAAGAAGTTATCAGAGCAGTTACTCAAGAACAGTATCAATATTCAGATCCGATCACCGAATTTATTAGATTACTTTATTCTGAAGTGGATTTTGAAGGTGCAAGATCTGCATTGAAATTGAGTGAAAAGGTTTTTAGTGATGATTTCTTTCTTTCAGAAGAATTGATCCCATGGCGAGAAAATTGTCGTACGATGATTTCTGAAGCTTATTGTAGAATACATCATAGAATCGATATTAGTGATTTGGTTTATAGATTAGGTATGGATGCTGAAGAAGGTGAGAAATGGATTGTACGATTAGTTAGAGATGCTAGGTTGGATGCTAAGATTGATTTCAAAGAGGTATGTTTTTGAAAGATGAATCGGGAATATAAGTAGATTCTCATTAACATTGACTTGATTTCTTTAGAACACCGTCCAGATGAATCATCCCAAGTCATCAGTTCACCAAACAGTCATTGAGCGGTACGTGTTTTGATCACTTCCATGAAAACGTTTGAAGCTCAACTAATATTTTTATACGACCTACAGCACAAAACGGCTCACGGCTATGTCTCACGAGCAAGCTTACAAATTACACGCCATCACATTAGCACAACAAGGAACTGAAGGAGGAGAGAATGGCGGAGAAGGAGGACAAGGAAGAGGAGGAGGTGGTGGTAGAGGTAGGGGAAGAGGTCGAGGTAGAGCAACGATTGCTGAAATGGATGATTAAGTAATACTATGTTTGTATAGATTTTTATATACATTAGAATGAGGAAAAAAATTAGAAAAAAAAAAGAAAGTCTTGACTTTCACATTTCACTCTTAACTTGATCAAGGAGAATGTTATTGTTATGTTTTGTTTTGCAGAAAAGATATGGATGGTTTGGTTACGAGATTTGTTACTAGAAATGATTCATGAGGTTGTCCAGGATGGAAGCCAATGTCACAAGACCAAAAGCAACAGCGATATAGGTGCGATTGAAAAAAAAACATTTTGACAGTGTAACGAGCTTTAAAGATATATAGGTGATTGAAGGATGTGGATCTGGGGAGCGTAACAGTATCAGTCTTTTTCTGAGACTCTGTCGCTCTGAGACTCTTCTGAGACTCTCTCTGAGCTACAAAAAATAGTGGCTGTCTGTATACAGTGTGGTCACAAAAGGTGGCACTCCATAGTTCAATTGCACAGTGTACCATACCAAGGGAACCAAGATGGTCCGAGCTATTGGAATTCATCAACATAACATCAAAAGAAGTCGTCAACGCATCAAGGCATCAAAACACAAACACTTATCTCGACTTGAGGCTTTTCTTGGAACAAAATCAATCAATGAATCACAGAACTGAAAAACAAGAATTCAAAGAATGATCAAATTAAATCCATCAATGATTCATTTTACATGGGGGGCTAATGGTTCTACATTTGAAACTAGTTTTGTTCAAATCAAATTTGATATCCTACTTGTTTACATTTAACTTGCACAAACTTTTCAATCGATTTATGAAACCATTTCCAAGCTCGACCAAAGCTCGTAAGCTCATCTATTGGTAAGTCTGGACTGAGCTTTGTCACTTCTTACTCATCCAACATATGTTATATCTTTGAATCCTCTGATCACATTAACGGCTTCTTATAAAGCTGAAACGTTGTAAGTATTTTCTATTAGGGTGTCCTTTTCATTACAATTGGCTCGTTTGGAGCGATTAATTTTTTAATCATCTGTTTATTGTTTCTCTTACTTCATTCAATTCGTATCTTTGTAGCTCTAGTTTTCACAGAGCTTATATGTGACTGTGTGATTCTGACTCTTGCTGACCCAACCTCTTGATTTGACGTTTTGATCAAATTAACGTAAGCTACATATTTGTCTTCTATTTCCCAACTTTCCTTCAAATCGTTTTGATTGAATACCTGTGTACAGGCCTAGAAGTTCAGCGAATCAAAACAAAACACACCTCTCGAAAACAGGCGCCACTCGAGAAGAAATTATACTATGCCTGTATGTCCCAGGGCTCGTCTCAGCGCAGTCTCAGAAAAAGACTGATACTGCATCTCTCCTGGGATCTGATACAGTGCTCAAGATCCCTTGTAAGCTTGAGGGTGATTAAATAGCCCACCATAGCTTAAAAAAGCTCTCAATGATATGCTGAGAGAGATATTGGTGTACTAACAATACACATTTGAATTTCTTTTCAAATAATCTGAACCGGTAAGATTATTTTGAGATTACCGTCACAGCACTGCTGAGGAAATCCTAGCAAGAAATAAGTTTTCCTCATAAATCCGGGAGAAAACACGGTATATGATAAAAAAACTTTGATACCTCTGGAGCTCTACAGATAAGCTACCAATTCAACCTGAATCAAATAATCTTCCAACCCACTTTGAAATCAAGTTCTGTGATGGAATTTAGAAATTGATAATGTTTATCTTCTGTTATTGTGGATTTCCCTTAAGGGGGGATTTTGGCATGAAAGATGATGAAAAAATTGAAACAAAACAATAGGAACGAGTTGGTAAGGTAGAATATAGTAAGAGACAGTCAAACAATTTGGTAAACAAAATCAAAAACCAAGAGAAGAGAAGATGGATTTTGATCAAATCCACCAACAAATAGCTAGTCATCATTCATCATATTCATCGTTGAACAAGACGACCATCCTATGTAGCATGATGACTAATTGTGATTACATAACAGTTTGAGCTCTAAGTGCAAAGTCTTTTGTGTGGGCATTCTTTGCAAATGAAAAGTTTGTACCAGACTGACAAGTTTCATGTATTGTGGTGAATTGCTTGAGAACATGGAAGCTAACAATTCAAGGATTACTTATTGGGCTTTGTGATGGTGATGGCACTAGGGACTCAAGGACTCCACATAAGAGGCTATCAAGAGGCAGGACAAGAGATGTAAGACCTTGAAAAGGCTTCCATTGGTGGCGATAGGAAGAATCACTAAATTATAATTTTGGAATTACAAATTCACACACAACAAAGAGATAATACAAGAATGAAACCGTAAAAGTAGAAAGATGAGTGTTCTATCATGATCGTTCACCACGAAGTCTTCTAGCAAGTTGAATATCTTTAGGTTGGATTGTTACTCGTTTAGCATGAATGGCAGCAAGATTGGTATCTTCAAAAAGACTATAAAGATCAAAATATTCAATGTGTAAGTGATTTGATAGGAATAAAAGAAAGATCGGTTTAAGATGTTTAGACTTACCCAACTAAATAAGCTTCAGCTGATTCTTGAAGTGCCATGACAGCAGAAGATTGAAATCGAAGATCGGTTTTGAAATCTTGAGCAATTTCTCGAACTAATCGTTGGAAACTGTTAAGGTGTAAAGAAGGTCAGAGTGAGTCACTTGTTGTATCTACTCAGTAAGCTCGAGGTGGTCACTTACGGAAGTTTCCTGATCAAAAGTTCGGTCGATTTTTGGTATCGTCTAATTTCTCTCAAAGCAACGGTACCAGGACTGATCGAGAAAAAAAACCATGCAAGAGTGAGCTCATGTGAAAAATGATCGAAACCTCCAAGGGAAAACTTACCGGTATCGGTGAGGTTTCTTAACACCACCGGTAGCTGGTGCTGATTTACGAGCAGCTTTGGCGGCAAGTTGTTTACGAGGGGCTTTACCACCAGTGCTTTTGCGGGCAGTTTGTTTAGTTCGAGCCATTGTTGATAAAGATGAAGTTATTGATTGAAGAAGGTTTAGGTTTGAAGGTGAGATTGAATAAGAGTTGTAAGATTGGGTAATGATTTGGTAAGTTGAGATGATGGAGGAAAGAAGCTGAAGGAGGTCACTTGTTTTATACCTTTTTGCTTCGCTTGCGTAGACTTGTGCTGAGGTTGATGAGCAGTCAATCGAAATTCCTCAAGACAGCTCAAGACGCGTCAAATTTGACGCGTTCTGGACGACGCGCACGGTTGAATACAGGCTTAGGTCAATCTTTTCACTAAATTTCTCAAGTCGCCTCGCTCGACCAATCAGACGCGCGCATTCGTTTCCCCGTGTGCAATCCTTCGCGACTTGCGGCGGGCTTGCTTAGCAACCGAGGATCAATTGTGGACAATTCTCACCAAGTCCTTTTCACAGCTTTTCACTATATAAAGCCCCTTCCCTTCAGGGTCCAAAGCTATCCCTCATCACACAATCAATCATCACACTCTCAAACAATTACTTGCCCCCCTACAATCTCATTCATCTTCAAGTTTCTAAACTTTAAACCCAAACCCAATTTCTAAATAAACATGTCTGGACGAGGAAAAAGCGGTGGTAAAGGTCTCGGCAAGGGTGGTGCTAAACGTATGTGCTCGTCCTCTGATCAGATCTCGTTTCCTACTGTTATTCTGATTTCTTTTCTCTTTCTCATTGATCAGGTCACCGAAAAATCTTGCGAGACAACATCCAAGGTATCACCAAGCCTGCAATTCGAAGACTGGCACGAAGAGGTGGTGTGAAACGTATCTCTGGTCTTATCTATGAAGAAACAAGAGGTGTTCTCAAAGTAAGTTTGACTTCATCGTTCTTCCCCTCCGCTTTCTCACACTGACTTACTCTGTTATTATCAGATTTTCCTCGAAAATGTTATCCGGGACTCAGTAACATACACTGAGTAAGTCTTTAATCCTTTTCCTTCTTTGATCATACCCGTCGCTCATCTCTTGTCTTTCTTCATCTTCAGGCATGCCAAACGAAAAACTGTTACATCTCTTGATGTTGTTTACGCCCTCAAACGACAGGGTCGAACACTTTACGGTTTCGGTGCATGATCGTTACTCTTCTTTTCAATATCATCTCAATTCTTCATAACTTGTTTTATTTTCTTACATTTTTTGCTACAATGTATTCTTGTAATCTCATTATTAAATGATCAAACTTTTTGGGGACGTTGAAGGACCAATCTTCAGTACAATCAAATACTTTTTTTGTTGTTGCCACCATTGTTATGTCATTCAAGCAAAATACAAGTTCACCTTGACGCAGACCAAATCAATTTTATGCTTGATCTTAAGTTGATGCATTGAGATTGAGCAGACAGTCTACCAATGGCATTGTTTGAGATTGAGATTTCATTCATCATATGCAAATTTAAGCTGTTCAGCAATGCCTCCTATTGACTCTCGTCCCATCAGTTCATATGACTCTGGCGTACCTGGCGTACTGCTCTGAGTTTGTACTGCTCTTTGGTCCTTTCTTCATCTCGTATTTTGTCACCTTCCAGAAGATGTCTGTTTGCAATCACTCATACGCGCTCACAGGCCTTTAGCACAAACCCCAGAGGATCTAACATATTGGCACAATCATCGAATTGGGTGAGAAAGTTCTTTGCCTTCAACCTATTGCACTTGAACATAAAATATGTCTCTGGAGGTATCCACACAAGGTATTAATCATCCAGACAAAAATTGTCCTGGCTCCATCTCCTTGTCACACATCCCAATTTAAGTGGGCAGATGGGAGAGAGTGTGAAGGTGGGGGGTGACTGAGTGCTCAGCTCAGGCGCTGACTTACAGCTAGTATTGTTGATTAACCCATTAGTATCCACACCTCCCCATAGCTTAACAAGGACTCCTCAAGTGGACGCTCGTGCTCAAGACCATGTGTATTTGTGTATGATTTGCTCCAAGGGATTAAATCGTTATTTTTTTCCTTTTCCTCGTATTCCAAAATCAAGGATCTCAAAACATACTTAACCATATCTACAACCGATTCCTAACTAGCTCTTTCCCTTTGGATGCAAGAAGAAGAAAAATGAATCACATATTCAATATGAACAAAAGAAAAACTACCTAAACCACTTCTTCCAACCAAAAGAAAAATTAAAAGCTAAGAATACGAATAAGAAATCCTAATAATCTTCCCAACCCACTTCTTTAATTTTTTCAACTTTTCCTAAAACTTCAGTTTCCATAGACTTCATATAAGTTTCCATTTGATCCAATAACCTAGGAATTCCAACCGAAAGGATTCTGATAGCTAAAAGAGCAGCATTAGTAGAATTACCAATAGCCACAGTTGCTACAGGAATCCCACGTGGCATTTGTACAATAGAATAAAGAGAATCAACTCCATCTAAAATTTTACCTTTAACTGGTACACCAATGACCGGTAAAGGTGTTAAAGCAGCTACCATACCTGGTAAATGAGCTGCACCTCCTGCTCCTGCTATGATGATTTTGATACCTCGATGTGATGCTGAGTTTGCAAATTCTACCATTCTTTGTGGGGTTCGATGTGCTGAGACTATGGTTAATTCATGAGGAATTGAAAAGATTGGATTTGATAAGATTCTAGAGGCTTCAATCATTGTAGGTAAATCTGAATCTGATCCCATAATGATGGATACTAATGGATTCGGATCTGAATGACCGACTAAAACTTTGTTGATTTCTTCTTTACGTTCTTCTGTTTGATTTGAAGGAAGTAAAGCTAAAATTCGATCAACTTTATTTTTAACTTCTGAATCAGATTCTCCAATGATATTGATATGTCCCATCTTACGTCCTTTTCTACACCCAAACTTTCCATATAATTCTATACTCACACCTGAAATTTCTTGAATCTTTTCAATCGAATCTTGGATTTCTTTTAAACCTAATTCTCCATCTGAATGACCTAAGATATTTACCATGGCTGTTGATGTCACTTTTAATTCAAATGATTTAGGATCTGGTAATGGTTTTGATGAAATTGCTAAGAGATGAGCTGTGAATTGATCGATAGTTGTTGAACTTAATGTATGATGATAAGAATTATGAGGTCTGGGTGCGATTTCGTTTACTAAGATTTCACCTGTTTAAACGAACGAAAAATATGGTCAATAAAACAAGACAAACCCAAGCCATTTGGAATTGAAATAGATACGTACCATTTGGCATTAAAAACATTTCTACTGCAAAGACACCTACTGCACCTGGTCCCAGTGAAGCAATAGCTTTTTCAGCCACTTCGATTGATTTCTTTGAACTTTCTTTGGTTCCTTTCCGAAGTGGACTATAGACCGTATGACAAATATTATCACGATGAACAGTTTGTACAGGAGGATAAGAACGAATTTGAGGAGAATCTTCTGAAGAAGTTGAAGGCGCTTTGATAACCATTACTGCAATTTCACATTCAAATGGAGCAAATCTTTCGGCATAAAGTTTGATGATCGGATTAGGATTTTCGTTTGTACTTGTAGGAGTAAGAGATTTGATTGCGATTGAAATTTCTTCAGGTGATTTTAATAAATAATTACCTCTACCATCATAAGCGAATAATCTACTTTTAAGCATCAATGGATATCCTAACTGTTTACCAACTTTTAAAACACTTTCTTTAACTTTTTCTATCGATTCACTTTCTTCTACCGATTCAAAATCTGAAACTGGGATTTGATTTTGATTTAAAAATTCTTTTTGTTTAAATTTATCTTGTATAATTTCAATGACTTCAGGTGAAGGATAAATTTTTAAACCATTTTTTGTTCTACCACCTTTGAGATCGTTTTGTAAAGTTTTCAAAATTTCAACATTGACGTGTTCGATTTCAATGGTTAAGATATCAACTGATTTACTAAATGTTGAAATATCATTTGGATTATTGAATGAACCGATTTGATGATCTAAGATTGGTTCCAGATTGGGATGTGATGCGGTTGGATTGATAACTTGTGATGCTGGTGAGTTTTTTGAATCTAATGTGATTAATGGGATTGATAGTTTTGATGCTGCTTGTGCCATCATTCTACCTAATTGACCTCCGCCTTTTTGGATTTTGGTTTGAGGTTTGAGATTCAAATTAGTATACTTCAAATTAAGAAATAGTAAGATATAGCTCACCAAGAACTCCGATTACTTTTTGTTCCATGATGCGTTGGTTTCTGGCTGTTGTGGTTTTGTGAAAATGTGTCGTTTGGTCAAAGTCTTGGTGAGCTGACTGTCAAGAAAAAATTTCGGAAATTACCTGAATGTATGCGCGGATGTGTGTTATGTTTGGGAGAGGCATGTGAAATGCCTGACTATGGCTCTACGTATATGGGTATACACAGGTTAAGAGCATGATATTTCGTGATCAGAGTCTCCAGATTGATCGACCATCCTTCTTGCATCCTCAGAACTTTCATCAGCTAAATCTCAACAAAACAATCAAACTCTCAAATTAATTCCAATGGGAGGATCAATTTCAAAATCAAGACCTTCAATCAAACCAATCTCAAGTAAACCCAACCCATCAACAAAAACACCTCGATCAACTCCAAGTTTCACAAAATCATCAGGTTAGATACTCAAACTTTCTCTTTCAGTCGAGTGATGTATAGCTTATGAATTAGTTTTTATTTTATAGAAATTCTTCAAGATGGAATCGATCCAAACCTGGATCAAATGTTAAGAAAATTAGGCCCAGTAGAAGTTCCAAAACTATTTACACATTTTCAAAAAGTTCAGTATCTAATTCAAAGAACCCGATCACGGACCCTAGTGAGATATTTATAGCTAATTTTGAATTTCTTTTTGTTTTCAGAATGATGAAATGTTGAAAATTCTAAAAAATAGAGAAGTTTCAAATACACTTTCAACAAACCCCGGACCAATCCCAAGTTCATCAACCACACCAAATCGAACTACACAAAACCATAACCAATTACCACCCAATAGATTAACGATTTCAACAATATGTGAATTACTAGACTTACGAAAATCAATGCCAATAAATTCTCCACTGTACGAGCAAAAATCTCAAGAAATTTTAAAAGGTAGTATGATTGAATTAAAAGAGTTAGAAAGTTTATTTAAATGTTTAAATACTTTTAGTGTACAATTAGTTAAGAATCCTGATCCTTTGAAACATGAACCTATGAAAGTTGTTAGTCCATTTTTTCTTCTTCTATTTATTTGATTGGTAATTGATTTGATCTTGTTGTTTGTTTTTTAGGTTGTTTGGGCTGATCCACCTACGTCTTAAGTTTGATCAACACATTTCAAAGTAAAGCAAGTTTTGCTGTAAAATCTGAAATCTGATTTTATTGAACCAACACAAGTTGAATATGCTATCTCATGGCATGATGGCAATTCATTTTCAGGTCTCTCAGGGTATATAATCTAAGTATATTTTATAACACAATTTAATTTGAAAATTCATCAAAGAAATGAATCAAAACATCAACTCTTCTAATCAAAGCTTCAAGATCTTTGTCTAGGTAGTGGTGAGTCTGATTGGTCTCATCATTACACATTGAAAGACAAAACTGTTGGATATTTGATATGTTCTGTCCTATAGTGCTTATTGCTGAAAATAAGAAAATGTAGAATAAGGTTGTGCCCCAAAGATTGAAATTTGAAAAGCAAGAAAAAACTATTGATCACTCCAAAAAGCTATAGACACAGAGTCCTCAATCTCACAATTCCAAAACCACTTTTGGAAGCCAAAAAAGGTGAGTTTTGGCAGAGGGGATAGGTTTTGGAGATCCGATTTGATTTCCTTGTTTTCAGGGGTAAGGACTATATCTGCACACTTGATATAGCTGAGGTTGTAAGTGCATATTTCATCCTGGGTTGTCCACTCAGTTAGTTCCCCTTCCCAATCACAATCTGCACTTAGCTCACACTACATGCAAGGTGGTGATGCCGCGGGTGCGGGGTCGCGCTGACCCCAGATTGACCCCCCCCCTTGGGTTTTGTGTGGTGTCACTGCGACCCCGCATCCGCGGGGTCAGCACTTTGCATGTAGTGTCAGTTGGTTGGAGACTGGAGTACTCTGCTTGACAAAGGGACAGGTTGTGGGTTCAAATCCTGGTGTGCATGGGGATGTTCATGGGATGGAAGTATCTGAACACACTTCTGGGTGCATGGGATGGATATCACCCAACTTTGTGGTTTTAGGTGCCTTTGAGATGATGAAACTGTAAAGTCGGGTGATAGCATCTCATGCACCCAGAAGTGTGTTCAGATGCCTCTGCCCTGTGTTTTGAAAGTATCAGTGTATTCTTTGATCAAGATTCCCAATGCACAATGATGATACCAATCCAACTCAGGGAAGACTCAACTCGTACTTGCTGTGTACAGGTTTTGACCCCATGGGGGAGTATGTAGTCATCCCAATGACAAATGAGTAGTACCAACGCTGCCACAAATACAATACTGGTATTGTATTGACAATACTCAGTAAAGTAACGGGTCTACAATACTCAGGAATCCAAGCCTCAGTAACGTACCTGTACCCACAATATGATACTCAGTAAAGTATTGCAATGGCAATACTGTGCCGCCCATTACCTAGTAGCGTATCTTGTCACAATACCAATCAGATACTGATACTGTATCGTAGTATCGCACTCCCAGACACAAAAACACTAGAGATTGTATACTCAATACTTCCCTGGGCCCATTGCGGTATTGTACTCGGGGTACAATACGATACTCAGTAAAGTAACACCATACATGATACTGCCAGGAGGATCGGGCAGTAACGTATTGTGGCATGGATACTGATACTGACAATACGATACTAAAAAAAAAACTACAATACCGTTACAATACCAATACTGGTAAAGTAATTGTGGCAGCGTTGGTAGTACTGCACTCCATATTGGGATACTCACTTGTCTATTTAAAATTATTACACAAGACTCATGTGTGGCACATCTCTGTGCCCCATACTTACTGTCCCATTTCAGCGCGTGCAGCGTTTGGATGGGTATACTCACCATACACTCATTCAAACTAGTGCTTCAAGTCAAGTATTTAAGATATCAATTAGTGTTCTAGGATATCATCTATCTTACAATATTTCAATCTTCAAGAGAATTCATTAAACCGTCAACCATCTTCAGCGCTGCCTTGTTCATTGTTTTGCTCCCAATCCTGTCCTCACCCTCAATCAAACTTTTGATTTCTAGACAGCCCTTGATCTAACAGTGGCTGTTAAAATATTTGTTCAATCACAATTCAACAAATGGTTCATGGCTCAGCAATCATCAAGTTGCCATATTGAGATATGGCTCCCAGTGCTGGCATGGTACAACTCCATCAGAGAACTGGAATGGGATTTTGACATTTTGTGAGACTCAACTTTTCTATATAATCTATGAGCTCCTCATTTTTGATCCCCCCTCAAGTCTTTCTGTCTACTGTTCTCTGAGTTCTTGAATTCTTTTGATTGCTTTATTTGTGAGCTTTCTAATCTTTTTCAGTCAAAACAAGTCCTACACAATATCTACAACACACCATGCCTGAAATCCCACCCCAACCCCCTCCCACAACACTATCCCTCTACGCCTGTTGGGGTACTCCAGTTGCTTCAACCCCTTGTGTTGCCTCAGCTTCTTGTGTTACCACTTTGTCTTGTTTTACCCCAACTTCTTGTGGAGTCTTGGTACCTTGTGGTTAATCCTCTTGACCTGGTGGTAGTGGATTTGCATGACCTCTGGTGTGAGCTTTGTGGAATCATCCACTGTGCAACCTGCCAAAGACCTGGACTAGGGTAAAGATTCCACCTTGAGTTCCAATAGACACCAATCAGTTGTCCACTTGCATTTTGATGTAAGTCACTGTGTCCTCTTGTGTTCTTATTGTTATTTCACTCTTGCTGATTATTAATTTTAAATTTCCATTTCTTGCACTCTTATAGTAACCACAGGCCTCTCCTGACGCATGCAAAGGGAATAATTCAAAATGCTACCCCTGTCTCAGATCTTGTAATAGACTGATCATTACCAATTCATCATTGATGCCTTTCATAGTGTGGCTCTTTTGATTGCTGTCTTTCCAAACTTGAACTCACACAATCACCACCACACATGCCCAGGTTTGTCACTTGCCTGAATTAATGCAAAGATTGGAAGCATTGCTCTAGACAAGGATCCTGTTGCCACTATCAAACACAGAAAGAGCTGAGTATGCTCTCAACCAGTTCTGTCATATTGAATTGGCCTGTTCAAATGACCATTGAGGCCAACACTGAGACACTTTTCTTTGACTTGGAGCATAATCTCATCAACAAAATCTCACAAGTTCCTGGATCAATTTTGAAAGCCACTAACTACTGGACCAGTGTCAATTTTTCTCACACTTACATGGCAATAAATGTGTTCTTTTTCAACTATGAGGGCCTTGTCCTCCATTGTCTAGTCACTTTCAAGGTCAGTAACTATTTATTATTTTGGATAGTTATCAATTGTTATCATTATTCCTTCTTCCTCTCTGGTTAATTCTATTTTCAATCTTTGATTCAATTTTTGTATCTTACTCTTTATTGTTTATTGAAATTACAGGTCAGTCTCAGTTTCTTTCACTTCTTCTATTATTCTTTTCATTGTTGATCCTCTTCTGTCTTGTTTTATATATTTTGTTTCCCTTAGAGCCTGGAAGGGAATTATATAGGTGAAACACTTGCAGAGGTCTATTGAAAGGCTCTCAATAATGTGGGAGCCATTATCAATCATTTCTCTGTCACTTGGGACAATATTTCACCCAACTGCACCATGATATTTCTTTTGAGCAATCCATACTCTTTGAATGGGATAAACTGGCCATTTAAGTTGAGATTTAATGTGTGAGGAGTCAGCAACTGTTGGGCTGACTGTTCACTAAGAAAGGTGAAGAGTAGACAAAGATGTAGTCTTCACTTGATACACCCAAGTGAAAACAACAGTTAGTCTTACTCTGAGCTTTGGTTGATCTTACAACTCACAAGCCTGCAGTACTTTAGACTCTGAGGATTCAAAGGTGCCATGGGGTACTTTAGACTCTCTAATGAGGTACCCTATGTAAATTCTAAGCTTGTTCTGTTAGCTATTAATTCCACAAGCTCAGAACACTACTTGAGGTTTTGCAGTAGCCTGAATACGATAGAACTATAATAATCAAGAAAACCAACAGAATCACTATACTCAATATTTTTAGTACATAATCAAGTAAAATGTGATGAAGAGTTGTGTAATGATGTGAAGTTCTTCCTTCTTCTATAGTGGGAAGAAGAGAAGTTTATATATTCCAGACCTAGGTGTCAACTTTTGGTTGACACTTAGGTTTGGGTCAGGTTTACTATCACTAGTTAACTCATAGTAAGTCTTTTTGCTTCAGTAACTCTTGATACTGAGCCATGAGGTGTAATTATTATGGTTTTGGACAAGTTTACTATATTTACATATGTGTTACATATATTTACATGTGTGATTGTTAGTCCATGGTCCTGTACACAGGGCCATGGCTGTACATGCCATGTAACTGACTCAGTTGCTAAGGAGTTCCTTGGAGGCTTGGGGAATTGACCAATACGGTCCACAGGATTGCTGCATACAAGGCCTCAGGAATGTCTGAATCCCAACCTTTATAAGGTCACTTCTACTAAAGTTGTGTAGATCAATATCTACAAGTATGAACAGGTATCACCATGTCTGTCCTCCATGAGCATGTCAACATGATCACACAGAAGATGTCTTCTAGAATGCTGATAGATCCTTCAAAGGTGTCTTTGAAAACATATACTGGCCTCCCTTTGACCAAGTGAGACATTTATCAGACATAGCCAGTCTGATCAAGTCAGTTGAACCATATTTCTGAAAACGGGTGGGCTAAACATACACACATCAAAACTATCCATGCTCCATCTCATTCAGCTCTTCCGCCAGCCTTGAGCAGCCGCTACCTATTCAATCCAACAAGACCCAGCTCATGTGGTTGTCTTGTCATCACTTCCTTATTTGTTACACATGTTTCAGTTGGATTGTACTCTCCCAAGGTTTGGGATGTATGAAGTAGAGACTTTCGATAGACCTTGCTTGAAGCTGCCTGCTGTCCCATCTGCTTAATCAAAAAGAGTGTCCTTATTACACATGTTCCAGTTGGATCATGCTCTTCCAAGCTTTGCAATGTATCAAATAGAGACATTTGATAGTTGTTGGTTGCAGCTGCCGGCTGTCCCATATGCTTATAAACTACAAAAAGAGTGACTCAGATCTAACCGAGATCTTGCAAAGGTTATAAAATCACCTCTCACTGGTTTCATAACTAACAAGCATACTTTTTGAGTCTTCATATCAGCCGCTGTGTGTCCTTGCTCTGGATAGGCCTTTGCCGACTGATTTTACACAATGAAAAACCTAGTGAAGGCAGCCAGTGAATGGCAAATCGCCTCGGTGGACTGTGGAAAAGGTGTTCAATGATTTCAAGGAATTTGGCACAGCTCCCTTTTTCCAGTGATGGGATTGGTGAGCTGCGTGGAGGATGAAAGTTTTCTCAACCTCAAATGCAAAGGGTTTGTGCAACACTATATAACAATACAGCACAATATTTAGCAGACACCTCATAGACTGATCTATAGTGTTATTGGCACCATTTTACTGCTCTTCATTCCTGAAAGCCTCAACAAAAATAAAATAGTGATGTTATATTAATTGGTTCATAGTGGTCACTCTTTTCCAATACGCATTACTAGGATGGTTGAATATATTCATATTGAATTGGATCAGTTCTGGTATTGGTTTAAGTTTGAGACCTGTTATTCTTCAAATTCTTGTTTTTTTATGTTTTAATAGGTTATTGTACCTAATCACTCAAGCTTCTTATTTTAAACTCATACATCCTTACCATTCTATCCATTCCTAATATCACTGTCAGGATTAAACACTTTCCCAATTGGTATAATGTGTCACTTTTTTTGGGATAATTAATTTTTGCCATATAAATGCTAAGGGCCCGTTCGGCTGATTTAGCCAAAAATTGTTACACAAAAACAAAATTTCTATCCGCCCCTGAAAAAGAGTTTTTCAGGGGCGGATAGAGAAACTCGTTTTTCGGCTTTTTTAGATTACCGAACAGTCGACCAAAAAGGTCAACAAAAGATCAAAATGATCATCGTTGACCATACCATTCAACTGTTTGGTCACAACCAAATTCATCAATCCTTTTCTTGACACTTCGCATCGCACGATTTAAAACGACATGGAGTGTCGTTCTTACCTTTCAAAAGTCATATCAGACATACAAAGAATATTATTCACAACAAATTGCTCAATGGTATCAATGGAAATCAAAGATATGATTCTCAACATCAGATAATAAAATCAACTTTTTGTATGCTTTCCTATCAGATTTTATTTACAGATGATTAGAATGAAATAAAATACATTTTGGTCTTCAAGGCATTGGTTGTTGAGATGAAGAGGAATGTTCTAGAGAAGAAGATTGAGAATTAGATCTAATCTTTGGTTTGTTTCGATTTGGATATGTAGTTAAACGTGATTTGATATTTGTCTTATTTTGCTACAAAATCGATTTCTTTAAATCAAGTTTATTCAATTCGATCTGATTCTTGATTGCATTGTTGTAGAGAGAAAGGAAAAATGGACAACTGGCGGAAAGAATGGTGCGTGAAGGGATTAAGAGAGTGGTGGTGTTGGTGGTGAGGTTGTAGATGGTGAGGTGGTGAATTCCTGGTGTCGATCGGTGGATTGAGGTGAAGGGCCAAAAAGTCTTTTTGGCTTGAAAAACAGCCTTGAGGCTGTTTTTCGATTTTGACTGTTTTTGATCAAATACTGTTTTTGTATTTGGGTCAATTGAAATTGCCGAACACCGGCGTTTTTGGAAAAACCCAAAAACAGTTTTGACCCAAAAACAGTTTTTGGCTTTGGTGGGGTTTTTGGCCAAAAACCGTTTTTGGGTCTCAGCCGAACGGGCCCTAAGCATTTATTGCAAAAGTGAACATTATTCCATCAGGGACAGTGTTTAATCCTGACAGTGTATGTTTGCTATCTTCACTTGCACTAAAAACCTGTTCAAGTTAATTAAAACCTAGACAAACTTCTAAAATTCTTTCTCTTCTTCAGTCTCTTCAAAAAACTTTTTAAAAAACCTTATAATTCCAAAACTAAACAGATAAATTTACCTGATAATTCCAATCTCAAAACTTTGGTCAACAGATTAATCATCACACACAACTGGCTCTCTCTGCTTAATTAGTGCTACTTATAAGTTTCATTTCTAGAGTCTTACAAAACACAGATTATAGAGTTCACTCTAATTATCCAAAGTAGATTGTGATTAGTTAAGGTCATGAGTCTCACTTTTAGATTTTTGTGACTTGGTCCTTGTACCTAAATACTCTCAAATACTCCTACCAATCTGAACAATAATTATGGCATTTTTTTACCCTTAACACTATCCCAATATCATATGCTCAGAGATGTAAGCCTTGTGAAACCTCCTGTTGACTCTAATAAACCAGTTGACCCAGAACATCATCCCTGATGTTGATGCTCTGTTATATATGAATGAAATCAACATTTCTCATACAATGTGTCCTGATACATATCTTCCCTCACCCCCTTCCTTTTCATCATTACTCATTCAAAATTCTGGATGCCTAAGGGCTTTGGTTGTTAAGACTATTGGTTTTACCAACAGATTCAAAGGTCTACAAACTTGTCTTTGCTTCACTATTCAATTAAAGGAACCTGAACTGATATATAGAGCCTCATGAGTGCAAGTCTCATGCATAAATCTGTAATAAAAGAACAGATATGAATCTATAACAAGAAGAAACTGACCAAGTTGTTGAATTCAATCAACACATTACATACATGGTGTTTCAAATAGAAAAATTAATTTTGTTTTGGAATATCTTGAATTGGAATTGGATTAAAGATTGAAAACCTAAAGGTTTTGCGTAATCAAGTTTGGATTTCTTTTGAGTTTGTTTTTTGACCTGACCCTGTAAAGGTAAAATACACCTTATGTATGGTTATGTTTACAAGGTGCTGTTGGAGATGCTCTAAGACTATTGGTTTTACCATCAGATCTCAATTCAAGAACCTTGTCTTTATATCAACTTACTAATCAATTAAAGGAACCTGAACTGATATATAGAGCCTCATGAGTGCAAGGCTCATGAATAAATCTGTGGTAAAAGAACAGATATGAATCTATAACAAGAAGAAACTGACCAAGTTGTCAAATTCAATCAACACATTACATACATGGTGTTTCAAATAGAAAAATATTTGTTTTGGAATATCTTGGATTGGAATTGGATCAAAGATGAAAACTGTGTAATCAAGTTTGAATTTCTTTTGAGTATATAATTCAAACCCTTTGGTTTTGAAGAAAAAACAAAAAAAAAAACTTTTTCCTTTGGATCATGATGTATTGTACAATTCATTTTTTTGGTTCATTTAATATCTTTTCATAATTTCTACATACATGATTGATTTTTAATTTTTATAGAATTCAGTTTCATCACTTTATGATTTGTTTTTCTTTTTTCTTCCTCTTTCTCTTCCTCTTTCTCTTCTTCTTCTTATTCTTCTTCTTCTTCTTCTTCCTCTTTCTCTTTTTCTTTCTTCCTTCTTCTTTCTCTTTCTCTTTCTCTTCTTCTTCTTTCTCTTCCTCCTCTTTGTCTTCTTCTTCTTCTTCTTCTTTCTCTTTCTCTTCTTCTTCTTTGACTTTCTCTATCTCTTCTTCTTCTTCTTCTTCTTTTTCTTTCAATCATCAAACCCATCAAATCATCCAAACCTTTAATTTCTCTTCTTCTTTCAATTTTCAATTTTCTTTTATTTCGTTTTCTTCTTTCAATCTTCTTTTTTCAATCTTCTTTTTTCATTTTTCTTTTTTCATCAAAATCAAACCAAAATCAAAACAAAACACATAAAAAAAAATTACAACCAAATCAAACAATTTCATTTTTATTGTATATTCTTATACTGTATATTCTTTATATATATGTATGTATGTAATTCAATTAAACCTAAACCAAAACCAAAACCAAAATGAAAAACAAATTACAAGCAAAAAAAAAATGAGAAAAATGAGAAAAATGAAAAAGAGAAAAAACAAACAGGAATTTTGATTTTTTTTTTGCAAGGTTTAATGAAACATCAGAGTTAAGAAAAAATCAGAGTTAAGAAAAAATCAGATAAAAGAAAAAAAGCAGATAAAAGAAAAAAAGCAGATAAAAGAAAAAAATCAGATAAAAGAAAAAAATTGATAAGAGTTGATAAGAGTTAATAAGAGTAGATAAGAAAAAACCCATGAAAAAATCAAAAAAAAGATAAAATCAAAGAACAGCTCAACAACATAAAAAAACTATATAATCTCCAGACTTTTTTTTTATTTTCATCATCATCATCATCATCATCATCATAAAAGAAGAGTAGAAAAAAAAGAGAAATTCAGAAAATTGGATAAACAATAAAGAAAATATATATATATATATATCAAATGTAAATGATTTTTTCATCTTCTTCTTTATCTTTGTAAGCTCAAGTTTTACAACAACAATTCAACAATCATAGTTCAACAATCATAATTCAACAATCACAAAACAATTCAACAGTGATTAACAATATAACAACAACAATTCAACAATCACAAACCAACAAACCAACAAAACACGAACCCAACCAAAAAAAGAAAAACTACGAAAACCAAGACCAAAAACAAAAAAAAAACACATAAAGAAAAAAAGCTCAAGAACACCCCACTCCAAAGCCGCTAAACCCCAGCTCCCTCAACGATGCCCAACCCCACGGCTTTCTGATGATGACTGGTAGCAGAAGCAGAAGGTGAACTGAATCTAACCTGAACACTTTCCAATAAACTTCCAATCTCTTCTCTACTCTGACCTTCCACTCCGATTCCAGAATGAGATCCACTGGTACTTGAGCTTGAAGGTCTTGAACCAGTGATGATTCCAGGTGAATAAAATAACTGAGTTGTATTACTTTCTTCTACGTTTTCTGTTCCACCACCCCAACAAAACTTACCAAACCAAAACGAAAAAAAATCAGTTAAGCTTTTTTCAAGAAAATCAGAAAAGAAACGTCAATGCTTACGTTTTGAACTAAATCACCGTAATCTGAGACTTCAAGGTTATGACCACCTTTAAGTTTTTGTTCCTGAAAAGCTCTCAAAGACTCTAAAACAGCTTGACCGTTCCCATTCCCTGCATTCCCTGCATTCCCTGTACTACTTCCAATCAAACCTGATGAACTTGAACTTGATGAACTCAACCCATTTAATCCAATCTCAACCTCAGGAGAAGTTCTACTAAACAATTCAGATCGAGGTACTGAATCTGTAAGAGTCGAATTCGAGGAAGAAGTCATACAATCCTCAAAATAAGGTGAAGAAGTTTGACTAAAACCTCCTGCTACTCCACTACCACTACCAATTCCTACTCCACTTCCATTTCCAAAAGACCATTTCCTTTCTTCAAATCTAGGTGAAGAAATCACTGCTTGTTTTAATGAAGAAGTAAAATCATAACGTGAAGCAAAAGGAGTTAATGAATTTAATTTCAAATGATTAGTGGCCGAGATGGAATCCAACTTTTTATGAGTTTCAAGCTTTGGACTTTCGCTAGGAAGATTCGGTGAAGAAGAAGAGGATGATTTAAACACAAGTGAAGATGGCATGGATAATCCTAAATCGTCGCCTACTAATCTATCTAATTCGGCTCTTAGTTCGGCCATTCGGTCTTGGGCTTGAACTTCGGTCGTCACACTCCATTGATATGGTGCTGTGCTAGGACTTGGATCAGATTGATTAGGTTCAGTTGTGATAGGTGATGTCTTACTTGAAATAGTAGTAGTAGGTGGTGTCGTACTTGAGGTTGGAAGGTTTGAAAGATCAGGTGAAGGATGATGAGGTACAACCACACTCAAAGGTTTAAAAGAATACTGATTGATTCCAGCACTTGCAGTATTAACACCACCACCCGTACTTCTAACCTTTTTAAACCTCAAATCATAATTCAAACCAGAATTATTATCCCAAATCTCACGACCATCACTGGTGAATCGAATCGCAATAAACATCTTTCTTTCTTCGATTCTAGCTAATTGATCTACCAATCTAATCGAAAATGAAAACCTATCGAATTGACCATCTTTAATAGATTCTTGATGTTCTGCCATGACTTCTGAAACCGTTTGCCATCCATCAAAGGTAAATCTAATAGCCACAAGTTTTTGAAATGATAAGTTTTTCACTTGAACTTGACCTTTTAAAGTTTTACCTTCATTAAACAATTCGATCCATCTTAACCAAACCTCTGATCCTTGAAGTTGTGCATTCAAATCTGGATTTAATGGAAAATTCTTCATTTCTAATACTAATCTACTCTTACTAATCGTCATGGGGAATGGAAACTCTTCTTCTCCTTCAGTTTCAGTTTCGATAGGTGATCCATCTCGACTTACGGCTGCTGGTCTTTGTTGACTCAAGAAATGTTTCACATGTTCTAGATGTGAATCGAAATGAACATACTTGGGTCCAGTAGGTGTAGCAGGTGCTGATTTAGCTCGGGTCTCCTTCAAGGATGATCTTACTACTTCTCCTGATTTCTTTCGTAACATGGGTGTACTTAATTCTAGTTCGCTTTCATCTATTGATAATAAGTTTTGACTCGAATTCGAATGTGGTCCGATTTCGATTCTCATCATCCCATTACTTGAACTCGAACCGGTTTCTGATTTAGCTTTCTGATGTAATGGTCTTTTGATAGGTGATGATGATGGATCTTGATTTGCATCTTGTGTGGGTGGTGAAGTGTTTGGATTAGTGGTTGAAATATAATGAATCGGTTGATTTGAAGGAGGATGAGCATAATCGTGAACTCGTACAAGATGATGAGTAACAGGTGGAGTAGGTTTGGGAAGCAGAGATTTAGGTGGAGATCTTCTGGGAAAACTTAACGGTTGAGGTTGGATTAGAGGAGTAAAGTAAGGTAAGCGAGCTCGACGAGATCTGACGGTGAGATGATCGATGGAAGGATCTAGTGATGGATGATTTGAGTTTTGTGAGAGGTTTTCAAGGTTTGAGTTTGGATGATGATGATGATGATGAGAAGTTGATTTGTTAGGTTCATGAAGAGGTGAAGCAGGTTGAACATAAATATAACTAGAAGTAGGTTCATTGAAAGTGGTAGTAGTGGTAGTAGTAGTGCTAGTAGATGAAGTAGGTGATTTGGTTAGAGAATGATTTGAAGGTGATAATGGTACTGTACCCTGAGAGAATGAACGATGATGAAGAGATCTATTGGAATTATTGTTCCGTAATAAATTAGTTCTAGTTTTAAATGTAGATGGATTGGATTCTTTTTCTGAAAAATAGATTGAGTCAGTTTAGTGAAAGAAGAATATAAGAAAAGAGAAGCAAAAGATTACTGACCATGATGATTTAGATGAAGATTAGAAGAAGAAGAAGATTGAGTGAGAGTAGGAGAAGAAGAAGAAGAATTAGGACTAGAAGAGTTTAGAGAAGGTGAGATTGGATTAGAGCATGTCATGATGGTGGATTATTTGTAACTTGAATGGGGATGATAAGATCACCAAGGATGAGATTAGAGTCAAGTTGATAAAGTAGTAAGTTGAGAAAGAAAGAAAGAAATCGAGAAAATAGAAATCAAGAAAATAGAAATCAGGAAGGAGTTTAACCAATCAAATCGAATCGAGTCAAAATGAAATTTAATTTTCAAATCAAATCAAATCAAATCACCAAAGTTGACTAATTCTAATAGTAATACGTATCATTCACACCTACTCTTCTAGTACTTTAACCATGAGAACAAATCAACCAATCAAGCAATGAACATCAAGTTTTTATGTAATCCAATCCAAATCAAATCAAATATCAAATATCAAATAGAATAGAATAGGTTCTTTTCCTTCCTTGCTTGCTTTGAAGAGGAAGATAGTCTTTGTATATGTTCTTTGGTTGAGTGAGAATCAGCTTCACTCTGGTTATTTTGAATGAATCGAATGGAAATCAAAAATGTGTAAATCAGATCACTGATAACTATTGACTGATTTTTTAGTTTGAGTTATCTTTGATTGATTGATATTTGATTTGATGACTGTTTTTTTTTTAAAGAAACTCCAATTTAATTCCACTACAAAACTATAAATCATCATGAACTTCATCATTTTTTGGGTATAAGCAAACCAAAAGAAAACATACCCCAACCTTTAACTTTTATATCTTCTAATCAAATCGCAGAAATCAACTTGAGATGAGATTTCATCATGGTTCTCTCTACTATGCAAATAGCAATATACATGTAGATGATGAAAGTTTGAAACCTCTTTAAAACCATGTGTATATGCTGGAATGTGGAGAACAATTGATGATCCGATGACGCCTTGATGACGCCATAGGTTGACCAAAATTACAAACAAACTGACTTTTCAATCTTTCACGAGTGATGTTTGGAATTCGATGTTTGGTTGGAACTCGATGACTTCAAAGAAACTGACGAGCTTTGTTGACTTCTTGGATCTTGGCATTGTGAGAGATAACTGTGCCGCAGTTGTCGGAAGTGTTGACTAAAAACATTTTTTTGTCATCTGTTTGGAGTTTGGAGTCCGATGCACGTTTCTTGAAAATGACAGGAAGTTAACCATTTATCCACACACACTCTTTCTAGTACGAAATCAGGAATATCAAAGTTTGGAATTCTTTAAATCCAAAACTAAAGCAGAAAATCAAGAAAAAAACCGATCTTTGGAAAGAAAACACTCACAACTCATCAACTAACTAACCGAACGAATTTCTTTTCCAAAAAGAGAACCAAACTTACAAGGTTTTACACTACATACGAATATTCATTAAACTTTTCTTTTCTAAACATCAGCAATCAGTTAAAGAAAACGGATTTCGGATTTATCTTTTAGGTTTTAAGAAGAAGGTGGTTAAGGAGAAGATGATTTTAATTTCAGAATTAAGTTTGTTGAGATCGGATTGGAAGTATTTGGTTGGTTTGAAAACTTTGGATCAGGTTTGTTCGGTTTCGATTATTTTGTATGGGATTAATCAGAATCATCATCAAGAAAATGGGAAAATGGAAAATGGAAAAGAGGAAAATCGAAGTCATCAAGAAAATCAAAGTAACCAAGAAACAGTAAAAGATGATGCAGTAAAAGATGAAAAAGAAGAAAAAAATGTCAGAGAAGATGGAAAAGAAGAAACAGTAAAAGAAGAAACGGTAAACGAAGAAACAGTAAAAGATGAAAATTCAAAAAAAGAATTATCAAAAAAAGAATCATCAAAATTAGAAACCCAAGAACAAATCGAATGGTTAGCAATCCAAGAAGAATGTCCACACTTAGGACAATCTTTAATCCATGCAGAAATCCAAATTGAAGATGATAATCTTATTGCGATTTGTCCTTGGCATAGGTTAGTTTTAAATTGACTATCAAAATTCTTTTCCTTGCGAAACTCTTCTTGGAAAAACTCGAAGACTCTTTCTTTTCGAAACTCTTTTCTTTTTAAACTCTTGACTTTCAAACTTTTCTTTTCAAAACTCTTTTCTTTCTTTATTTCATTAGATCCTGAATTTCTAACTTTTTCTTTGGATTTCTAACTTTTTTTGGGTTTTTTTTTTTGGTAGTTATGATTTTGATTTAAGAACAGGTGAATCTTCTACTGGTTTAAAAGCTTGTGTAATTAAAACATTTGTTAAAGAACTTGATGGGATTCAGTATTTGTTTTTTGATCGAATCGAATTTGATTCATTTAATCAAAATACAAATCAAAATACAAATCAAAAGACAAATCAAGAAAAAGAAAAAAAAGGAAATGAAGAAGAAGAAGAAGAAGAATGGAAATTATTTTCAATCACACCTATTTCCCAAAGTAAAGTCTTTCAATTCGCACCCAAAAAATCAAAACGGAAAACAAGAGTGCAGAAAATTGATAGGTTTTCGGTTTTTTTTGGTGTTTTGTAGGATTTGCAGTTCCAGAACCAAATGAAGAAGAAATCAAATCGACCATAACATCTGAACAAGAACTTCCAAGTTCATTACTAAGCTGGGCCTCTTTAATCCTCCAAACCCCAAACCCAATCCAAAAGATTCAATACACACGACACTCGATCGATTTATTTAAATCTCATCAAATCCCTCTTACAAACCAAACTGATTCGAATTCGAAAACTTTGAAATCTGAATTACCTCCTTTACAACCGGTTAGAGAAACTTCATTGGATACATTGAGGTTTGATGATTTTAAGTTTACTAAGAAGGGTAAATCGGGAAATGAAAAGAATCGGATTAAGTTATTACATTCGTTGGCTAATATTGAGTTATGGGCTATTGATTTAACTTGGGATTTGTTGTGTAGATTTGGTAATTATGGTCTAGATCAATTGAACAAACATCATAAGTTACCTAGAGAATTCTTTTTAGATTTTTGTAAGGTTTGTGTTTTTGGTTTTTTACTTAAAAATAGGGTATATTTTAGTTCATGAGGTTTTGATTGTTTTTTTTGGGTTTTTTGATTTTTTTGATTTTTGATTTTGAGTAGGTTGCTGGAGATGAAGCTAAACATTTTACTATTTTAAGAGAAGCAATTCAAAGACTTGGTAGTGATTGGGGTGAATTACCTGTACATAATGGTACGTATCAACTTGCATTGCTTTTCGTTTTCGTTTTCTTTTTATGTTTTTGTTTCATTCTTTTGGAAATACGTCTTGAGCTGAAGTGTGTCCTTTTTTTTTCTAGGCTTATGGCAATCTGCTCGTGATACTTCTCATTCTTTGATTTCTAGAATTTGTATTATTCATGTAAGTTTTCTTGAAGAAAGGAAAAATCAAAATCGGGTTTTCTTTACTTCTTGAGTTTTTTTCTTGGTTTTTCTTTTTGGTTTTGGGAAAGAAAAAATTGATCTGGGGTTTTTTGGGGTTCTTTCATCGAAAAAAAACACATGGGGGGTTTCTTTTTCTTAGCTTGTACATGAGTTGAGTTTTGGTTTTGATTCTTTATAACTCGTCCTGCAAAGTTATTAAATACTAATTTGGTTTTTTTTTCGGCGGTTGGGGTTGGTTTTGTAGAGCTAGAGGTTTAGATGTGAATCCTACTCAAATTAAAAGAGTTAAAGCAGCAGGTGATGTAAGTTCTTTTTTTCTGTTCTTCTTCAACAATAATCAAGCTGTCTTTTTCAATCAAGTTTTGAGCAAGCCAAGAAAATAATCAAATCCAATTCATCTAAAATATACTTATGCTTTCTCTGGATGTGTGTGGGGGAATGTTTAGTTTGAAACGGCTAAAGTATTAGAGATCATACATGCAGATGAAATCACGCATGTAGCTGCAGGTGAGGCCTCTTTGTTTTGGTTTATAAATCAATTCAGAAGATCCAAATATTGACGGATTCGGTTTCTTTTTCATTGGTCTGGGGGGGCGACGGATGAGTAGGACATAAATGGTTAAATTATCTTTGTAATCAATCTGATCCTAAATTAGATCCAGTTGAAGTTTTTAGAAGAGAAGTAAGTTTTCAAGTTTTCGAATATATTGACCAGTTTATCATTAAAGATTTAGTCTAAGAGGTGTTTTTTTTGGATTGTTTTTTTTGGCTGGGGGAAAATTGGAAGGTTAAATTACATTTTATGGGAAAATTAAAACCTCCGTTTAATGTTGAAGGTGAGTGTTTTTGTTTTCTTTCAAAAGTAATAGAAATTGGGGGAAGAGAAGGGAAGGGATAGAGGTTTTGATGTTGGTTTTGGGTTTTGGGATGATTTTTTAGATCGATTGAAGGCTGGTTTGGATCCTTCGTTTTATGAAAATTTGGATTAGTTTAAGTTGATGAATTGGAATAGAATGTGTTTAGGAAAGGAAAAAAATGTAAAATGAAGTAATAATCTAGAGGTACCATTTATTTGGGAATGCGTGGAAAAAGAGAGGTTTGGATTTACAGAAAATTAAAACAATGAACTCATTGACATATCAATTCTTTAATCTTTCTGGATCATCATAACTCTTAAGACTCGTGCTTATCTGTGCTCCGGTAATTCTCACAGTCTTCAAAGTATCTGGAATTACTTGTTTGGTGTTCATGAATCAATGTGATGTGATTTTGAACAGATGTGAAAGATTTTTTGTGAGATTTGTAAGTTTACAATTCAAAACCTTTATCAAAGATTCTAGTTGTAAAAGAAAAGTGAAGAAAGAAATGTAGGGTGCATTGTTGTAAGTGAAAAGATAAATTTGTTGTGATGAAGAATAAAAGTAAAGTGAGATTAAAGAAAGTATAATAAGAATTAAGAAAAGTTTAGAGAAAGTTGAAAAAGATTTAGATCCAACTCAAGATTTGATGAGTTAAGTATAATTCAGAATCAGATGATCAGATGAGAATATATTAAATCATTAGAAGTGATTGACTAAATTGTTGATAATTCATGCAGTCTGATAAGACTCAGAGCTATGATGGATTGGCTCTGATTTCTCTTCTCTGAAATTTTAAGATCAATTGCTTGTGATCCAATTAAACAAATAAGTGGAGAGAAGGAAGTTGTGTGATGAAGGTTTTGTGGCTCAAAAAAATGACAACAAGAAAGTAGTTTGGTATTAGTATTGGTGAAAAGATTAATGCTGTCTAAAAGAAAACACACACTCATATATACTTGGGAAGAACCTGGTTGCATGTATGCTTGATTTCTTAATTATCTGCATGCCTACCCTGAGTTTTGTTGCACCTGGAGTTCTGGTATCAAGAGTGAGAAGTCTTGACTGTTTTGGCACACCTGGAATTCGCGCGATTGATTCATCGCGGTCATCTTTGTTTGATTAAGAAGCATTTTTTTAATGTGAATGCATTGGTTGGGGATTGATCAATTTTTTTGGGTCGATACCTTTGGCCTAACGGCGTGGTGGGTAGGTCTTGGTTGTTCCTAAAAAAACTATTTTCTTGACGTACCAACCCTGGATCAGGAATTCATACCTCCCTCAAATTCAGACTCAGTGTTGATGAGTATGAGATATATTGGCAAAAAGTGTTGGGTAGGTAAAGAAAACAATCATTGGATTTGTCACTGACAGGGCCATGATTTTGGGCAACACCTGTCTAGTGGCAGTGCACCTCATGAAGATGTGAATGTCTACATTTTTACCCTGCGACTGGCAAGCGTACCGACCAAATACTAAGGGACGGGTGATGTGGGCTATTTTTTGTGAGTTTTTTTTGTCACACCTTACCGAGCATATTGCTCAAGCTCAAAATATGACATTTGATCAATTTTGTACGGTAAGGAATCCGTGAGTTTGAGTAAATCTACCACGAGTTGTTTACCCTGATAAGTTTATGTTTACCCTGAGCTTTACAAGTTACTTACCTAAAGTCCCTCCCTTCCACTCACGAGTATGTAATATAAGATTTGAAACTTTATCAAATATCCCATAATAGTGATTGACAGCGATGATCACAATGAGGTGTTGAATGTTTGTGATAAGATACTTCTTATCTTTCCAAAGTTAATCCTTCATATCATGATCTTATCAGGTCCATTGTATTCACAAAACGAGTATCTTGATCATCATCTATAAGATATGTAATTCCAAGTCTTGCAGAACGTTCTTCGTATTCCTTTCATAAAAATCTTCGCGACTCTCTACACAGCTACTTCTTACATATTTACTCAGGTCGTTTCGTCGGCCAGTTGTCCCCGTCAAACTCCCAATTTATTTCCATCGGGGATTATCATGCTTATATATATGCAGGATCAAATTTGACAAACTTGTCCTGCATAGGTTACCTTGGAGTCTTTTTGGTCGGTGATTTGTAGACGATCTATAGGGAGACGTGGGCTTGATATGTCATGTCTTATCAGTGGAGAAAAGAGTCTTTTTAAGAGATCTGCTTTTTAAACACTCCTGTCATATGTTGCTTGTTACAAATTGTGGACACGATGTATACTTCTAAAAGTTGATCAAGTGGGGGTCCGGTCACAAATAAAGGCAATGTATAGAAACTTAACCATCGATTGTCACAAACGAACTGAAGTAACATGTTTACCTTTAATCTGTTCCAGATACGCCGTGGTGATGTCCTCATCTTGGGCAAACTCTCATGATGGCAGGGATATTATCTGAGGGTCCAAGGGATCAAAGGTCAAGCTGATGATATAAACTCAGATCAATTAGATACCTCAATCGTCTTGGTCGATTATCTTTGGCTCTGTCTAGGGTTATTGTAGTGCATCGAGGGCATTGAGATACGCGGCTGCTTGTGATCAACAGTCCGATGGCTATGATGATAAGTTATGAATCGCCTACGATTTGAAGAATTGATCAATCGATAAGTAAGTAAATGACGTGCTGACTTTCTCGCGACCAAGAACATCCACACATTTTCAAGCGCGCGAGTCGGACTGGTATATATCAGACTAAACAGCGTTCGACATTCGGAATTCCTTCGCCTGCTTGAGCGAAGCAAGGTGGAATCAACCTTGAATCTCCTTCCATCAAACGCGCGACGTTGTGGTGAGCCGCACGCCAGGGGAAGAAGGTAGGTTAAAGTCTCGAGGTCAAGAGGTCAGATATCATCCTTGTTGCAACTTGCAACCGCTGGGTCACTTTTGAGATAAAAGCAGAGGAACATCTGGAACACTGTTTCAAAAGATTGCTCGACTCTTGGAGTCATTGAGCATGAGCGGGCCCGAGAATGTTCTGCATAGAATACAGACTATCGGGTGACGTTTCAGGCTTTCGAGCCTTTTCGAATTGTTTCAAGCATTCAAACGTCAAGATGAAGCGGAACACAGCGGGATACTGCGGGTCAGATGAGATTTTGTACCCCTCGTTGGGATGTGTATGACGTCCATCTTGACGAGAGAGCACATCGCCAGAGGATTCAATTTCTGCCCAGTGCCAACGATCTCCTTAACTACATCCCTAAAAGATTCCCTCTTCCAGGATCATTCTCATTTTTCTAGTTGTATTGTTTAGCTGATCACGCTTCCCTTGGAATCGAATTACAGTACCTCCTTTGAGTTCTTTTCGGCAGCAATTCGTCGTCAAGCCTGGCTCGAAGGCCCTGCTGGTACACTTCCTGAAGGACACAACACCCTTAGTTGACATCTTTTGTCTATTCTTTTATCTCCCTGGTCACCTTCGTCAGCAGAACCCCTCTCCTTTTGGCACCCGATACCCACTTCTTGGACACCAACGGTCATCTTGAACATCAAGCCTTTATTTCTAGCCAGATCGTTTACGCTCAAGTCCTGTACTCTTGAAGGACACACCATTACGCTGAAGCACGTTTTCGACCGAAGGACAAAATCATTGCTTTGATACTCAGTTTAAGTCCGGCCATCCATCATCCTACGACACATCTCGTCTGGCTGCGTCTTTGGATTGTCATGCGTTGAGACTTCCACCGTACAAATTCAAGAAACCAATCAACTCCGATACCCCCCTCAGAAATGGATGAAGATAGCTCTTCTTCATCGAGCTCCTTACTGAAGCGAGATGAGCAGTCAAATCATCTTAAACGTCAATTACTTGGAATTCCAGACGTTCCAGATATAAAAGCGGAATTAACTGCAAACAAAGCACCAGGCTCGCCTCCGACTGGAGCAGGGCCATCACCATCGCCTCCGACTGGAACAGGGCCTTCGACAGGCACTGCACCTTCGTCTCCTTTGCCTGCCACTCCCTCGCCGACCCCTGTTCCGAATACGAGTTCGAACACTCCGATACCACCTGGTCCAACGTCTCAGCCTGCACCTGCCGCCACACCAGCACCCAACGGCCTGACACCTACGTCTCCTAACAACACTAATTCTCCGCTCGCACCTTTTGGCCCCGCTATCAATGGCAATGGCACAACTACTCCTACAATATCTCCAAACTCGTCTACTCCAATTCCTGGGGGAAATACTACCTCTCCAACCGCTTCCCAAAATACAACTCATCCGACCAATACTACCACCTCTGAGCTGCCCACTAGCACAGGAAATACTACAGCTCCTTTTTATAAGCCACCGCCCAAGCGGAACAAGGATAATGGGATCGCCACCACTACAGTGAAGACTATGGTCTTGGTTGTATGTGTGATTGCTGTAGTTTATTTCCTTTGGACTATCATCAGAAAGTGGAAATTCAAACCGAGTCGGAAATTTGAACAAAGATTGGAAGATTATGATGAAAACCTATTCGATCCTCGTCCTCCTTGTAAGTATTCACAGTATCACGCTTTTTTGAATTGCATTTCGAAATTGTGACTGATTAGTGTTTGTTCTTGATTTTGAAAGCTTTTGGTGAGAAACGTTATGACTCACACTTGCGTCCTTCCTCGATCACTTCTGCTTCGAGTCCTTCTTCTGCAAATCGTCGAGGGAATGGACAATTCCTCGGCGATGGAAATTATCCAGGCCCAAATACATCAGTAAGTGGTTACAGTCAGCCTGGTCCTAGGGTTGGAGAGTTTTACAGTCATCCGTATGAAACCCACGTAAGTACAGCAGACTTTTCGAGAAAGGAACATTGCTGGAGTGATTTTTCTGATCTTAATGATACCAATTTCTGTAGAATGTCGACGACCCCACCAGCTTATCCCTCGTCTATCCTCCGAAAAGAGGCTACACGCTTGAAATGGATTCACCCGATACTGCTTATGCAGGTCCCAAAGACAAAGAACCTACCAAACCACGTCCTGTTTTTGAATCCAACATACATCGTCTTTCAGATCTGAGCCTAGGTGCAAAGTTTGGAGCTTAGTGACGAGCATTGGGGGAAATAGAAGCTTACATTTACGATTCTACCACTACCACAGAGAACTATCAATTGGTATTGATCTGAACCTTTTCTTGATCTTGGTCAGGTGATGAAGCCTTGTTCATTTTTCCACTGCATTTTTTGGAATTTGAAAGTTTTGCATGCATTAACCTTTTTTTTCTTTACTTTCGACTACGGTTGTAATATTATATTTGAACCACTTTTGTTTTTCACTTCATAAATCTTGACATCTACTATCCTTTTGATTTCAAACGTCCCAAAGCGGTCATAGGAAAACATTCAGTACAGCATAGATCTATGTATATATTTGTATTTCTCTTCTTTCTTTCAAATTGCATTTCAAAATATACAACTATTATAAAATTCATAAATTCATGGACATTGGAAATTATTGTTTAATTTGGGATTTGCCCTTTTCCCCTCAAATGCATGGAGCTCATCTATATGGATATCACCCATCTCACGCCTGCACATTGCTCTATCAGCGCAGGCATCCTAATTGCCACGCCTGTATCTTATTTTAAGATTACCGCATTGCTGGCATTAGGTTTCTAAGTCTTGCAATATATGCAATCACTGCAAGTATTGTGAATCTTTTTATTTTGTTATTTTCTATTGAGAAACCAATAAAAATGTATGATTTGATGTCTTGCACTTGTGGATCTACCGTAATCAGAGCTATGTCATCAACAAAATCCAACAATGATCAAAGAGAGAGGTTTTGCCATTTTCCCCCTTCACACCTAAGCCACTTCCAGGTTGATCCATAGACAGTTTGATGAATACATGACTTGCTTCAGCGCTATACCGTAACACCTGATTCTACTAGTATATAGCTTATGACATATATGCAACTTTCTCAGCAAGTGGAAGCCATTGATTTATCCATGGCTTCATGAAGAAAATTTGGAGTCCAGCATCTCACCCTCTCAGACTTTCCCCTTTTCCCACATCCAAAGGCATACATTGAGCTAGCTTAACACAAGCCCCACCCAGCACGGCACCCGGATCCTGCGGAGGAGGATCGAGGTCCCTACTTCTTCTTTTCGAGTCTATCTTGCTTGTCAATTCTTGATTTTTTTTATTGTCATTTCATAGTGATGTACTACTAGAAATGCGGTTAATCTGTGAGTTTCAGGTTGTCACTGTCAGCTTTGTAAAAGCTGCACACGCTGATCGAAAAGGTAAACGAGACAATCTGAGGGTAAAAAGGATTGTCGGGAAAAAAATGTTCAAGTTTGATAAAGAAAAGGAAAATAAGGTAAACAGCGGATTGAACCCTTTAGACCCCAAAGTTCAACATTAAGATCAAAACCATTCGAATCATAACACAAGTGTATGATGTCATGAAGAAAATCGAAGAAAGATTATCCCTACATCATTCAAAGAGTGCACTATTGAACTGTTCAAATATCCATGGCTTCATTCAACTTTAATAGCTGATGAAACACCATGATCCTTGACTTTACAGGTGAAATATGAAAGCAAAGACAGTCAAAGGAGCTGCCCTATGCATCATCAACTACAAGTGGCCGCCGAAGAAGACTAAAGCGATTCCTTGCAGATCCTGTTCCCTGGGTAGCGGACTGATGCGCTATGGATATGCAAAAAGACAATTCATCATGATGCGAGTAAAACGTTGAAGTGGAGAGGGTCGATTATTTGAACATGAACAGTGGATCAGGTTAAACGCTTACCAGCATAGCCCCATGATAGCTCACGATTCTCATTGTCAAAGGGTTTTTGATCATGGAATAACAAAGTTATGTGCAACAAGCAGTGACTTCATCTTGGAGAGAGAGGTGCCAATTTCTCGAATGTCGCTCAATGACGTCCAAGACTTGCCCTCCCTGTGAGGTTGCCATGTATGCTAATTCAGTCGAAGTCGCCGCTACCAATGACCTTGCAAAGGTGACTTCTCAGACGAACAATTAATCGTCGAGAATCCCTTGCCTACCAAGTTACCTATCTGTTACCGAGATATATTTTCAACCTTAATGTGTTGCTGTTTAGTCACCGTTGTGCTCACAAACCATCGGTTTTAGTATTTCCGATTGACACTCAGAACAGTAAGAATTTCGTTGTACCAGTTTTCATGTCTTAGTCAGCCAACCTTCCAAATATGTTTTCCTCAACTTTTTGAATCGAACTCTCAAGTCAATTTTCGAAAAGCTATGAGTCCTGAAGCTTTTCCTGGGGATTTATTTTCTTCAACAGAGCAAGCGGAATCGACTCTTGTCAAGCGAGAAGGTTTACTTGGTCTTGGATTGGACGTAGGTCTCAATCTTGGAGGTGATAAAAAATCTGAAAGTCGTACTTCAAGAGGTACCACACCAACTCCTCAGCCAATATCTAAGACGCCCATCGCTACTTCAAATCTTCAATCCCCATCTCCAACTGGCCCTCCAGCCACTGGAGCTAAATCCGAACCACCAGGCAAGGTCAGTCCTGGAACCAAAGCTCCTGGCGCACCAACCAATGGTGAAGCACCCTCAGTAATCACTGCGGCCAATGGAGGTAGTCCAGAAGCACCAAAAAAAGCTGGGTCTAGTGACAAAATCCCAGGTGAACCTGGTGATTCCCATCCAGTCAACACTCCGTCAAATGGAGGTACACCAGAAAAGGCTCTCCCTGATAACAAAAATCCAGATGCACTCACCACTAGTGAACCTCCAACAAAAACTCCAGTAGTTGGGAACAATTCTGATCCGCCAAGAAAGACAGGCTCCAACGATCAAATTGCAATCGGACCCAGCGTTGACGCACATCCGACCAACAATCCGGCTCCTGTGCCACCATCTGTGACTCCAACAACCAGTAGCACTTCGAATACGACACGTTCAGGTGGTACCAATCCGACTCCCAAAACATCGCCAACACCCGCTTCCAGGCCTATCTCAGACCCAGTCCCTCAAGGTACCCCATCTACCACGGGTGAGGTAGGTAACTCTTCAACGCGGATTCGTGGAAGCGATATACACACCCCGTTCTCTCAACCCACAAAAGTTCTTCCGCAAGCCAACTCAACCAGTGTTGATAGCTCTCCAGTTCCATTAGATACTCTGCGACCTGGAATCTCAAAAACTCCGAAATCTTCACACAAGTCTTCGAGCTCGCAAAACGAATTCACTACGACATTAAAGATTGTATTACCTATCGTAGGTGGTATTGGTGCACTTTACATCCTATGGACTGTCATAAGGAAATGGAAATTCCGACCAAGTCGTAAGTTCGAGCAGAGATTAGATGGATATGATGTCTTTGAACCACGTCCTCCCTGTGAGTCTTGATAACAAAGCTTTTTTTTCTTACAAAAAAAAACAAAATCATCACATCACTTACCGAGAGAATTTTTTCGTCTCTGATGTATCTTTTCTAGCCTTTGTTGAAAAGAGCTATGATCGAAATTATCCATCCCATTCTGAATTTTATTCAATGAATCATACCGAAAATGGATCGAGCGCTGGTCACTCAGATTACTATAACGATGGAGTTCAAGGGAGCGGTAGTGGTCATACTCCTATTGAACTTGTCTACCCAACTATGAAGGATGGGTATGAGTATAATCGATATTCTCCGCAAAGAACTTTTACACTTCCTGGGTCAAGCTCACCTAGACAAGATCCAGCCAATGATTATTTAACTCAACAGCAGGCTTATGCAGATTTACATGCAACGCTTCAGTTGCCGCCTCCGGTATTTGTGTCAGACTCGCATATACCTTCTTGGTATGAAATGGGAGTGGACCCACAGCCCGTTAAACAATGACTCAGTTGAATCAAGGCAAAATCTCTGGAACCTCGAAGCTAGATCATTGTTGGTTTTGCAAAATATATACTTCAGGTAATTTGCCATTCCCATCAAGTCTTCTCAGGTTCATATTATAGAGTCTGTCAGTTGTATTTATGATGAACAGTAACTACTTGTTGCTCTCCTCTAATGTTGGTAGTTCTAGTTCTTCTTTCATTTTTTTTCAACTGATTAAAACTTTGTTTTCCCTTCAAATTTGATGCTGTATAAAAAAGATTCTTGTTTGTCTTAATTTTGTATTTAAAATTGACAAGACTTTTTCTAATGATCTGTCAAATAATTGATATCTTGTAGTGTTGTGATTTCCTACAAATTTTGTGATATAAATTTGAAGGACTTTTCAGCTATCACTTGTTTTTCTCTCTTTTAAATGAATTTTATGTCATCTAGATTTAACTCTGGATGTTTTATCAGATACTCGAGTCCTAAACATACTACCAAAAAATGGACCAGGAAGATGATCATTGAGTTTCTTTTTTGGATCATTTTGCTGGAGAATTACACCTTTGGTCAGGACAGGGGTTTTCATCATACTTTAAATTTCAGCCTGTTCTAGTTGGTTTGCTACTAGATTGTACCAACTTCAATTCATGATCTTCAAGAAAATGAGGTCTTGTGGAGTTTGAATCTTGCTGGGCCAAATAACTTTTGTTAAAGCATCCAAAACTCAGGCCTTCAGATGTTGCCATTCTGAATCTGACACACACATAAGGTGGATTTTATGTGTGCCCTTCGGGCCTACAGATTTTCTTTCTTTTTTTATTAGGCCTTGAAGGGGACTTGATCAAGTTGAGCAAACAAGTCTTGCATGTCAAGGACTCAATGGTTTGAGGTAAAAAAGGAACTCCAAGATACAGACTATTGAATATGTATTGAAGACATGCAGTGAAAATATCACCCCCTGTATCCGCCAATATTATGCTTGAGCCTTCAAAATTCCTTTGAAGGTACAAATCATTTGTCACAATCAGGTTCAGCTGTGGTATACCTGGCAGGGAAACGGTCTGGGATGGGTCTACCTCATGCACACATTAAACAAATCTCAATCTTGATAATGAATGAACAAATTGAGCTGTAAGTCTTGAGGCTGAGCACACTGATTTTGGCTCTGTATGTACAGTCATTTTCAAAAAGGATGAAAAGACGAGCACAAAAACTTGGTCATGTGGTCCGTGCGCGCGGCGGATGTCGCCGGAATGTGGGTGAATCCCGACAGCCACATACCGCCGATACAGCTCACACATAGTGCTTTTTCGGCCTTACAAACAAGTTCAATTCGGTTTTTTGACCTGGTAATTATATTGTTGATGGCACTGTGGCATGAAGCCGCTGCCGTGATGAATGTATCCTGCCTGGGCAGCGTGTTCGAAACGGCTGCGTGGTCTTTACTTTTACGGTCTCGGCAGATTTTCAAATGACATAAGTTTTTGCTTGTGAGGAAGTTTTCATCAGTTTATTGCTGCTCAGGTATAGCAAAAATAACCGTTTTTAGATGATGATTGTGGTGTTAGCACATTCCCATCAATTGTCCTAAGGCCATCCCCAAAACTCGGCAAAAAAGAGTCCCTTTCGAGGCTCGAACCGCATCAGCCACTCCAATACTTCTTCGCCATACCGTTCGACAATATCAACTTTCCAAAGGAGCCTCAAAGTCAGGCTATATCGAACAATTATAAAGCTACAGTTCGAGATTTGTAGACTGTATGAGAACATTGCCGATATATGGCTGTTGGGATTCATCCACATTCCGGCAACATCCGCCGCGCGCACGGACCACATGACCAAGTTTTTGTAATCGTCTTTTCATCCTTTTTGAAAATGACTGTACATGGTTTTTGATCACACTGTAATGTTGACCCACATCCTGGGGAGACTTGTCAAGTATTCTGTATGTCTTTTGAAGAAGAAATTGTCCAGAATTTCATATGAAAGACACAAGGGGATTTGTGGTTGCTATTGAATTTGCAATACAATAAGATCTAATACTTGAAAAACTTGTAATCTCACTTTGTGAAAGACAATTTACAACATATATTCTAGAAACACCAACTCATATCAGATATCCTATTACCATGAAACAATCCATAAACTCAACTAAAAGCTACACTGTTTATAACACACTCTGATTTGCAGCAAGGGACTTAACTATAACAAGGAAGCACAGTTTTGCCTATAAGGAAATGAAACTTTGGCACTAGAAGTTTTTGCTCTTATAAAACTTTGTGGCCTGATAGTGAAGTTTTCTAGGGCCAAAGACCTTTTATGGGCATCTTGATTTAGAAGTCCAATACTGGTAAAAAGATAGCAATTGCTCAGTTCCTGATGATCATGTAATCAGCTGACAAGTAGGAAGAATTTGGAAAGAATTTAAAAGTAAAAAAAAAAATTAATGCTCACCCTGTGTTATGATCTTACATGTCACCGCTCTGTGACACACACTATTATATGTCACTGATTAGATTACTATCTAGTGCGCATTGCGCCAGTTGTATTGCTCCTCATCTGACAATCTACCTAATAGCCAGAACCCACCATTGCTGTGCCACGACTCTTGTCGAGAACCCATCACCAGGCCTTAACATATTGTCAGATCTCAAAAAGACAAGCCTCGAGGCATCAAGCAAGAATCAAACCGAAATCACCTTATTAGAATTAGGACTTTGATTAGATATCGAACATTAAGAACTCAATCGATTATCGAAGAAGTAGAATTGAAACTTACCACATCATCGGATTTAGATCTCAGAATACATTAGAAACTTTAATCCAAGATTCAGGACTCAACGTGAAGACTCCTGCACCCCAGACCTTGAAATCGATCTCCCGGACTTTAAACTTCAGAATTGATCAGAACTTTGATTTTCGATTAAGAACTATAACTTTGATAACCCCGCAAAACACCGATCACGTCTCCCTCGTACAGAATCCCCCAAGACGACGTCGATCTCGACAGTGACTCCGAACCGAACTTTGTCGACGTTCCCACAGAACCCCATCCTTCGCTGCAGGCCCCCCCTCCAAGCACACCTGATACAGCTATGGAAGAGATCCAACGCCAGATCCTCGAACTCCAGACCTCGTTAGCTCACGAACGAGGGCTGAGGGAACAGGCTGAGGCTAACCAGCGCTGCGCCGAAGAACGGTTGATTGCTATCGAGTCGCACCAGGCTTCGACAGCCAATGCTCAACCCGCGACGAACCCATCGCCCAATCCCGCAGCTATGAGCATGCCACCTCCTACTCTTGGAGTAGCGCCTGTCCCAAAGGGACCTAAGGTATCAACCCCGGACAAGTTTAATGGGACTAGGGGAGGACCAGCAGAAGTTTTCGCGAGTCAAATCCAACTCTATATGATGGCTCATCACTACTTGTTCCCCGACGATCAGAGCAAAGTTGTGTTTGCGCTGTCATATCTCACCGGAACCGCGAGTGCTTGGGCTCAGCCTTTGACGATGGAATTACTTGACCCGAAGACAGCTCATCTTTTCACCTTCGACCGATTCGTACAGAATTTTAAAGCCATGTATTTTGATACAGAGAAGAAGGCTAAAGCTGAGAAGGCGCTTAGATCGTTATCGCAAAAAACCACCGTGGCGGCATACACCCACAAGTTCAACTTGCATTCCCATAACACTGGCTGGGAAGTGCCCACCCTGATCAGCCAGTACGAACAAGGGCTGAAACGCGATATTCGAGTCGCCATGGTCTTAGTTCAAGATGACTTTACTTCTATCGAGCAAATTTCAAATCTCGCCATCAAACTCGACAACAAGTTGCACGGAGCTATCGACACATCTACGTCACTCAGTGCCCCTACCAGAGACCCTAACGCGATGGACATATCAGCGTCGTTCACCAGACTCTCTGACGAAGAGAAATCCAAACGTCTACGAACGGGATCCTGCTTTCGCTGCGCCAAACAAGGCCACAGGGCTAACGAATGTCCGGATAGGAGGAGTGATCGTGACCGTGGGAAGAAGAGAGATGTGTATGGAGCCAAGATTGCTGAATTGGAAATGAAGTTAGCCGCAATGGGAGATAAGGGAGAAGGATCTAGTCGATCAGATAATTCAAAAAATGGAGGCGCTCAAGCCTGACGGTTGTGCCAAGCTTGAGCAAAAGGGGATTAGTAGAGACTTTAGAATTAGGAGCCAGCGCAGTTGTAATTTGCAATAATGACGACCCTCGTCTGTTTTTGCCCGTTTCCTTTTCTTTGTCCCATGTCCCCCGAGCCACACCATTTAGAATACCACCAGCCCGTCTTTTGATTGACTCCGGCGCAACTCACAACGTGCTAGGAGAGGCATTTGCCAGAACAGCCGGTCTACTCCAACACGCGATTCACACATCAAGAGACATATCAGGCTTTAACGGATCTCGATCAACTTCATCTTACGAAGCCGACCTCACCATCGACCACGACCCTCACGCATCACGATTCATCATCACCCCCATCAAGAACACCTACGATGGGATCCTTGGGATGCCCTGGATTCGCGACAACCATCACCGCATTGACTGGATCAATGGAACCGTCAGGACACCGGAACAGGTTTCTGCCTCTGCAGTAGCAGAGTCGTCTTACCCGACAATACCCTTACCAAACCCCGAAGTGGAAGTGGCGAGGGAAGCTAGGCGTAGTGACGAGGGGATGTGCGTTGTGAATAATGCTCTAACATCCCCGCAGAGTAAGTCTTCTCACTCTTTCAATCACGCTTTCAAAGAAGAGACTCGCAAGCCACTACATCCTCTACAGAAAGTACCCGTGATCCAAGAGACTCTCAACGAAACGGAAGGCATCACAAACCCAATCACGACATTAGACCCGATTGCAACTGTTTCTACAGTTTCGTCGAGCCCGCACAACCCCCCTGAGGATCCTGAGGAGACGCTTTTGGGGAAAACTAGGGACTTTGACGAGGGGGCGCGTGTCAGAAATGATACTTTCACGCCCCCGCAATGTGAGTTCAACCCAGACATCATCGCTAAACTCCGTGAAGCAGCTAGCAAGCCCCTATGCCATTTGAAATTCCCATCACAGGTCAACGTAGACGCGGCAAACACTTCTTGGTCAACATCCGCACGACTAGCAGCCGAAAAGAAGAAACTCATGCCAGAGAAGACAATTGAAGAACTAGTCCCAGCAGTCTACCACCGGTATATACACATGTTTTCGAAGTCAAAAGCCCAAGGCCTACCCCCAAGACAACAATACAATTTCAGAGTTGAACTTCTAGAAGGCGCCCAACCTCAAGCAAGTCGTATCATCCCTCTATCACCCGCGGAGAATGACGCACTAGAGGAGATGGTCAAGACAGGACTGGATAACGGGACTATCAGGCGCACAACCTCACCGTGGGCTGCACCGGTACTCTTTACTGGAAAGAAGGATGGTAACTTAAGACCATGCTTTGACTACCGTAAACTCAATGCAGTCACGGTCAAGAACAAGTACCCGCTACCTTTGACTATGGACTTGGTCAATAGTCTATTGGATGCCGAAGAATTCACGAAACTGGATATGCGAAATGCCTATGGTAATCTTCGAGTTGCTGAAGGCGACGAAGACAAACTAGCCTTCATATGCAAAGCAGGCCAATTCACACCATTGACTATGCCTTTTGGACCTACGGGAGCCCCAGGGTATTTCCAGTATTTTATCCAAGATATACTGATGACCCACATTGGGAAAGACGTAGCAGCATTCTTAGACGACACCATGATCTATACTAAGAAAGGAGACCATCATGTAGCAGTTGTCAATGCAGTCTTGGAAATATTCAGCAAACACCATCTATGGCTCAAACCCGAAAAGTGTGAATTCTCGAAGACAGAAGTGGAATACTTAGGACTTTTGATATCAAAGAACAAAATCAAGATGGACCCGACCAAAGTGGCAGCGGTATCAGATTGGCCAGCTCCAAAGACGGTGACAGAACTGCAAAGGTTTATTGGTTTTGCCAATTTTTACAGGAGGTTTATTGATCACTTCTCTCGAACCACACGACCTCTACACGACCTCACAAAGGATAAGACTCCTTTTGTTTGGGATCAGAAATGTGACGAAGCTTTTCAGAAACTCAAGACAGCATTTACATCAGCACCCATATTGAAAATAGCCGACCTGTACAAACCTTTTGTACTAGAGTGCGATTGCTCAGACTTCGCCTTGGGCGCCGTACTCTCTCAAAAGTGCGAAGATGACGGTCAACTACACCCGGTCGCGTATCTGTCACGTTCATTGGTTCAAGCGGAACGAAATTACGAGATTTTCGACAAGGAATTACTGGCCATAGTTGCGTCCTTCAAGGAGTGGAGACACTACCTTGAAGGGAATCCTAATCGTCTCGACGTCATAGTTTACACTGACCACCGGAATTTGAAGACTTTCATGACCACCAAGCAGTTAACACGGCGTCAAGCCAGATGGGCAGAGATCCTGGGATGTTTCGATTTCAAGATCAGGTTTAGACCGGGAAAACACGGCATCAGACCCGATGCGTTGTCTAGAAGGCCTGACCTAGCCCCTACGAATGACGAAAAGCTAACTTTTGGTCGATTGCTTAGGCCGGAGAATATCACCCATGAGACATTTCAAGCCGACATTGACAGCTTCGAATCATTCTTTCAAGATGAAGAAATCTCATTGGAAAACCCCAAACATTGGTTCGAGGTTGACGTCTTGGGAGTCTCAGAGGACAGAGACGGAGAGGTAACACCAAACGACAACGAGATTATTGATTCAATTTGTCAGAGTACCGCAGATTGCCCGAGACTACAAGAACTCATTCAGGTTATTGATAACCCAATTTCTACAAGCATCAAGAAATCAGTATCTCACTACCAAGTCGTGGATGGCGTGATCTACAAAGGCGGCAGGATCGAAGTACCGGACAATGACAAGATCAAATATGCAATCCTCAAGAGTCGACACGACAGCCTGTTAGCTGGACACCCTGGTAGAGCTAAAACACTCGCACTAGTTAGGAGATGTTTTAATTGGCCTTCACAAAAGGCGTATGTGAACAGATATGTTGACGCATGTGACTCTTGCTTACGGACAAAGACAAGTACAAAAAGGCCCTTTGGTGCTTTAGAACCACTTCCCATACCCGCAGGCCCGTGGACAGACATCAGTTACGATCTGATCACTAGCTTACCGGAATCGAAAGGCCACGACAGTATCCTGACGGTCGTGGATCGATTGACGAAGATGGCCCACTTTATCCCTTGTAAAGAATCAATGAAAGCTGACGAACTAGCAGACTTGATGATCCACAACGTATGGAAATTACATGGGACGCCGAAAACCATCACTTCAGATAGAGGTAGTATATTTATATCTCAGATCACCACTGAATTGGATCGGAGACTTGGAATAAGACTACATCCATCAACAGCCTATCATCCAAGGACAGATGGACAATCTGAAATTGTCAACAAAGTTATTGAACAATACCTGAGGCACTTTATAAGCTACAGACAGGACAATTGGACCGACTTCCTACCGATAGGCGAATTCTCTTACAACAACAGGGACCACGCGTCGACAGGAGTGTCCCCATTTAAAGCAAATTACGGTTTCGAGCCAATATTCGGCGGAGTCCCTTCTAACGCGCAATGTGTACCTGTAGTAGAAGAAAGACTTAAAACTCTACATGAAGTACAAACTGAATTAACTGAATGTTTACGAATTGCACAGGAAAGCATGAAAGAACAATTCGATAAATCCACAAGACCAACACCGGATTGGAGAGTTGGAGACCAAGTTTGGTTGGACAGCAAGAACATATCCACCACAAGACCCAGCCCTAAACTGGATCATAAGTGGCTGGGCCCTTTCAACATTGTTAAGAAAATATCATGTTCCGCTTATAAACTAACTTTACCTCTATCCATGAAAGGTGTTCATCCAGTCTTTCACGTCTCTCTACTTAGGAAACACGAACCTGACAGTATCAACAAAAGGCACCAACAGGAACCGAGACCAGTCATAATTGAAAATAACGAAGAATACGAAGTTAATGAAATTTTAGATTGTAGAAAGAGGTACAACAAGTTAGAGTACTTAGTCAGTTGGAAGGGATCCAGCTCGAAAGAAAACTCGTGGGAGCCAGCAATTAACTTAAAGAATAGTTCAGAATTAGTAAATGAGTTCAATGATAAATTTCCTAACGCATCTTCAAGACACAAAAGGACACGGAGAAAAAAGTGAGAGGGCAAGCTTTTTCCCCACGGGGTTTTTTAACGCTGCCCGGGGAAGAACACAGAGCTTACAAGAGGGAGCTTGGGCGTAAAAGGGGGAATAGTGTTATGATCTTACATGTCACCGCTCTGTGACACACACTATTATATGTCACTGATTAGATTACTATCTAGTGCGCATTGCGCCAGTTGTATTGCTCCTCATCTGACAATCTACCTAATAGCCAGAAACCACCATTGCTGTGCCACGACTCTTGTCGAGAACCCATCACCAGGCCTTAACACCCTGAGGTGAGTATCTATTTTTGCCCATGTGACTAAGGTCTTTAGAGTGTATCCCCTCAAACTCACACCTTTTGTACCAAGCTTTACCCCACAAGAACTAATTGGCAAATTTGAATTTCAATCAAAGTTTTTCCAAAGAAATCAAATAAGATCTGATTAAATAAATCAACAAATTCTCAAGGGTTGTAACCCATATAATTGTCAACCTCTTACACCAATGTATAACCTAAGTTTAAACCTACCTAGACTTCATAGAGTGAGGGATAGGTAAGTTGAGTGAGTTTGATACATAGTAGGCTCAGATTACAGTTTATGAAGTCAGTGTAAGGTATGTTGTTTGATGATCAGAAAAGGGAATGAATCTCAATGAATGTTTTGTGGTTTGAAAACAAACCAAAGAGATGTAACAACAAATATAAATTCCGACTGAATTCCATACTGATTGAAAGCTATCAAAAAAGAATTGAATCATGTTCAAATAAATCCCCCCTCATGATAAGTTGAAAGAAGGTTTCAACAAATAACTAAGTCCCATAGGTCCAGCTTGGGACTTAGCAATAACAATTTCTCAAGAGGACAAGTTGATTGAGAGATGAGAGAGTCAAGTTTTTCAAGTTGTTTTTGTCTATAGATATATGATCTAGATGAATAGCCATGAATCATTTGAAATCTGATGGAGCAAACAAACAGCATACTATGTATCAAAAGTTCAATCAACAAATTGAAGATCTTCTTTATCAATCAAAATATTTGATTCAGAAAGATGAGTGAATTTTGAACGTCGTATATAAAATAGAATCAAAAGTTTTCCAGGTAGTTAGTCTTTTGGCGTGAAGATTTGATTCTTTAACCCTTGTTGTAACAAATGGCAAGATTTGATCAAAGTAGAGAGTATTAGCGAAGAATTTAAAAAGGAGAAAAAGGATCGATTGAAACTTGAATTCGAGATGGGTTGTCATGGTAAGTTCCTTGTTTTTGGGGCCCAAAGATTTAAATTCCTTCTCGATTAAACCTACAAGTTGAAAGTCCTTCGATGAGATCCAATTTGATTTACAATTTCAAGTTTTGTTCAGGAAGTTTTTTCAATTCTCATACTCAAGATTAATTTGAATTTCGAATTAAATCAAAACGGTCATCACCACTTTAACTTTCAAGAACATCAAATCGAACCCAATGAACTATCAATAATTCACTTTACACTCACACCCTTTATCAACTTTAAACCAACTTTCAAGCTCACCATCAACTTAATCAAGCTCATCATCATCATCATCATGGCATACGATCCAAGAGATAGATATCCAAATCATCAACAACAACCACCACCACCAGATTCACATTACTATCAATCATACGATCAATATCAAGAACCATCTCAACTACCATATGGTCCAACCACTGATCATCAACTACCTTATACTTCATCACAACCATCTCATCAACAACCATATGTAGAATCTCATTCACCATATCCCACAAGTCAAGATCATCAAGAAGCATATCATCATCAAGACCAACAAGCATATCATCATCAAGACCATCTAAACTATCCACCAGGTTCGATGGACCCTTATTATTCTCATCAAGACGCTCCTCCTTCTCCTCAACCTGCTTATTATAATCAATACGATGATCATCAATCATCTGGTTATCCTATTGATGAAAAATCAGATTATCCTCCTCCTCATACTGCTCAACATCTCGTACCTAATCCTAAATCTAGTTTTAATCAAAACTCTAGAGGTAGTGTAGCAGCTCAGGTTAGAGATCTAATTCATCTTTTTCCAAAACTTTTAACCACTTCTTTTTAATCATTCTGTTTCTTTTTCTTTTTCGTTTTGTAGATGGCAGCAGAAGGTGCTATACCAGAAAAAGCTGGATTAAGAATGTGGAGATCAGATGAACATTCTGGAGCGTTCTTGAGAGGTGGTAAAGGAAAATGTTGTGGTAGATGTTGTTGTTGTACAATGATTGTAGTTGCATTACTTTTAATTGGAATCGTGGCTGGGTTTTTGTGTAAGTTGAACAAGTTTTGATGATTTACAACAACAATCTTCACTTGGAATTGAACTTGTTTTTTCTTTGTTTTTTCATAGTATGGGTTAGACCACCTAATGCTACTTTTAATGGAATTGAACCACCTACAGCTGGAAATCAAGTCGATTTACAAGAAGGAGGATTCTTATTAAACTTTGATTTAAACGTAAGTTTTTTGATTTTCATTACCATTATCGAAAACCCGAATCCAAAGCTTAACTGATTGAATTGGATTTTTGGTTTCGTTTTCTTTAGATTGGAGTGACCAATCCGAATTTCTTTGGAGCTTCATTTTCTAAAATCTCAGCAAAAGCTTATTATCCATTAAACAAAACCGCTCCTTTAGGTGGAGGTGAAATGGATAATGTTCAAATCCAATCACATTCTAATACAACTATTCATTTCCCATTTCAAATTAATTATACTACTGCCTTTGATCCGAAACATGCGATCTTGGCTGATATTGCTTATAAATGTGGTTTTCTAGGTGCTAAGAAAAATAAGTTGATCTCTTTTCTTTCTTTCTTGCATTGATTTACAAAGAGAACTAATTTTTTTTCTGGGTGGTTTTTTTTGGATGATAATTACCTCCGATTAAGATTTCATTTGATATTACGTTAAAGTTAAAGATTTTAGCTATTTCAATCTCACCTACTTTTTCTTCTTCAAATTCATTTACTTGTCCATTAAAACAATCTGATTTTAATTCAGTTTTAGGTGGACAACAATCTATGGAAGCTTTACAAGAGATGTTAACAGGAACGAATGCGTCAAGGAAACTTAAACGAAGTTTGGAAGAAGACCAAGCGGCTAATGAAATGGCATTGAAATCCATTGGGATCGGATTCTTTCATTGGGATTTAGAGGAGCTTTTTGGGTTGGATTTGGATGGGTTTGAAAGTCATCAGGTTGGTTGGAATGGGTTTAGGGAAAAGGTTTTGGTTGGGTTTAGAAGAAGGTGATCTTTTACTTTCAAAACATATGTTGGTGGGCGGGGTTTTCCTTTTGGTTTGTTTGGACTATTATCATCATCATCAATTTTTTTGAAGAGGACATCAAGAAGAAGAAGAAGAAGACAATTTGAAAAAAAATTCATTATGGAATTTGTTGTGTAGTTCTTTGCATCTATGACTTTTTTTCCTTTTTTCTATTCATTCATTCATTTCATAAAGAAGAAAAATTGAAAGTAAAAGAAATCGGATCGGATCGGATCACAATTTCTGTCTCTATGTGTGTGTGTGCTTTTCGTCGTTTAGAGATGTCTTCGAACTTGATTATAATCTCTTAGACTTGAATCTCATGAACAAGTTTAGATGATTTGATTTTGATTTTGATTTTTAAAGATGATTTTCGTTTCTTCTTTTCTTTTTCTGTTTTCTCTTTTTTTTTCTCGGTGATTGAGAAACGAAGAAAAAATAAACACTTCAAGTTGAAGAGACCAAAAAAAATGGATTGGTTTGATTGATTGATTTTTTTCTTTTACATATATATTTGCTCATCAAGATTTTTTCTTTTTCTTTTTCTTTATTCTCCAGAAAACAAAAAAAATGTTACTTTCTTTTCTATGTTTATATAGATAGTTATATACCATGTCTGTTTTTTTTTTCGCCTGGAAAATTGATTTTTTTTCTCTACAAAAACTTGATTCAACTTGATTCAACTTTTTTTTCTTATTCCTTTTTTTGTTTCTTTTTGTAAAAAGAATGTAAACAGTCTTTTCTTTTGTGTGTATGTGTGTGTGTGTTTTTGAATTTTATTTATCATGTGATGTGTTTGTGTGTTTTTTCTCAAGTTTTATATATCTTTTTTTTCTGGATGATTTTTTTTCTGGGTGGGGAAAGCAAGTGAAGAAAAAGAAAAGGGGAAAGGAAAAAGAAAAGGGGAAAGGATAAGAAGAAGGAGAAAGGAGAAAGGAAAAGAGAAAGGAGAAGATTGGGATAGTTTTTTGGTTTTCTTTTTTTTTCTGAAATTTAATTTGAAAAAAACTTTTTTTCTCAATTCATGATTTATATTGATCTTGTGATCAACTATGTTGTCTTGAAGTTGGTGCTACAGACATGGTTGATCAAATATTAATCATACTTTGCTGATCTATTTAGAAAGTGTAACTTCAACACTGGTATCGATGCAGTTTAAACAGTGGTTCTGATGAGACAATGATTGCATGTATAGTTGATCTGATACATTGCATGGACACAATACTATATGCTTTGGATATGTATACTGGAGAGAGAAAGACAAGAGAGAAGTATGCTGGTTTGGTATTTTGTAATCACCTCATTAGCTTACCTTATATATTGTTCAATCATCCAACCTCCTCCCCCCCCAACCTTCCCCTCCTCATCTGCTGTGATAGTCTATTTACAAAGCAAATTGCTGTCTGGCCCCTCTGTGCTCCATGTTTCATTGAGAATTTTCACTATATCACAAATTGCAACCTTGTTTGGTACCAGGAATGGCATGAGAGGTCTTACTTCTTCCAAAGTCTCATCATTAGCAAATACATCCAAGTCTTCTGACAAGTACAAGATTGTAAAGCTATTGCACATCAAGTGAATAGGATGTGGTATTTTTTTTTCAGAACAAGACTAAACTTATACATGTGGATACATGCTGAATTGTCCTGGCAAGTTTTCTATTTTCTCTTCTGCAATGTTCCAGAGTGTTGCACTGTCCTTGTATTCTGCCTTTTAAAATCCTTAATGGCAGGCTTGCATCTTCTGGAAAAGAAACATGATTGATTTGTATTGAAGATCACAAAGCACAACTCAAAGTGTCTGTCTAACATACAATTTAAGTGTAATGAGCCTTTTGAAGATGTCCCACTTGTTTGAAGATCTTGTCACAAACAGGTACATGACCCTTGACTTGCCCAATGTTGACTTGCCCAAATTCTTTATCATGAAGCCATATTGAGTGAAATTCAGCTTGATATGCAAGGAATAAATGGGCACAGAAACTTACCTTGGCCACAATCTCATTGAGCCTGAGTATGTCCCCAGTGCCTGTGCTGCTAGTTTGAGATGGCAAATGTATGTTATCATGAAGAAGCTAAAAGAATTCATTCATACAAATAATTAGAGTAAAAACAAAATGAATGGAAATGAAAATGGAAAAAAGAAAAGGAAAAAGACTTATGATGGTCTCAAATCGTTTGCAGACTTCTTTCAGCATGACATTGATCAAGGTTTTGAGATCTTTGGGATGTGCCACTTTTGGATTCTTGCTTTAACCACCTGAGAGCAATCTTTTTTTCCACTTATCAGGATTGGACAGAATCCCATTCTATAATTACTGGTATCAGTAACCAAACTTTGAAAGAGAGGTATAGTTAAATGCTTACCATGGATGTAGTGTATAGAGACAGCAGGAGGGTGACTTTCTTGCCTATCTTGTCCTTCTTTGCAGTGTATTCCTGCAGGTAACCTCACAAGTTTTTCTTTGGGGCAATCTGGCAAATCAAGTTCTGAGAAGGAAGGACCTTGTCAGTTGGTTTTTATTTCACTTGATAATAAATCAAAAGTTGTGCTTGTAGCTCTGCAGGTTCTTCTTTTCACAATAGCAGTAGACTTGGACATGATTTCCCAAACCTTGGCCATCTGATGTGTCAAATCCTTGTGGATTGTTGTCTTGTGTTGTTGATTTGATGGACCAAGTTAAACAAATACCATAGATTGAAATTTGGTGGTAGATGTCTGTCAGTTAATGTGAGACAAGAAACAAAGAAAAACTCACTCACGCTGCATGATTTCTGGCCCATGACTGTGTGATGGTTGTCAAGATCAGCACCATCAGAGGATTGATTTAAAGTCTTCAATCTAGGTCCCTTTAGCAGAACCAATTGTGGGGGATGGCAAGTTGGGTCATTTTGACAATTATTCTCAAGATAACAACCACAGCAGTTGCTGTTGTTGCAGTTGTTGTTGTTGTGATTGTTGTGAGTGGTGGTGGTGGGGTTGTTAGGGTTGATTTCGTTGATGTGGGTGGTGTTGTTTTTGTAATCTCTTCCACCATATTTGTGGTCCAAGTACAACAGAGCTTATTAATGGATGTGAAGAGAATTTTTATATTGAAGAAAATCTGTACTGACTCAAACTGGCTCAAGTCTCCCATCCAATTGTAATCCAATGAATGAAGTGCGGCCTGGGGAGTAGGTAGGTGTGCTTGTACATGCTTGGGTTTTGATTTACCTTTCTTGTTTGAAGTCTGCATGGCTGGTGGCGCCTTACACTTACTTGTGGTCACTGGGTTCTTCAACATGTAAGTATTGGGTCCCTTATGCAACACACGGTGGGCTACAGTTGGTGACCTGTGTGTTGGTATGGATAGCTGGGAGGCATTGGTATTGGATTCCAAAGTGATGTGTGGATGGTTGATGGACCTTTGGAGGGAGTTTGCCCAATTGATTTCTTGGTTGGCATGGGGAAAAAGAGGTGTTGGGACATTTTTCTGAGGGAATGAGTGCGGCAAGATGAAGATGTGACACCTGAAACAATCATCCAAAACCAGAAGTCTTGATTGAGCTTCACTTTAAATAATCCAATCACACAAGTCATGAACAGGGATCCAAGATAAATAGAATAAAATGAGAATGGTTTGAAGGGAAAATGAGGAAAACAAACACCATCCAATGAACATAGAAAATCAGGAATATATTGACAAAAGAGAGAGAGAGCAATGAAAGAGGAACAAAATATCTTTGATTTGAGAAGATTTTTTGTGAAGCTGGTTTTTGTTAGACCAGATTCCTTCCACAAATATACAGATATGTTCACCTCCTATACTGATGTACAGCCCTGTACCACTTCTAAGGCCTTCAAATTATTTCTGAAAAATTCCAAAGAATTGTGGATGGTACGTAGTATTATCAGAGTGGAATCTGGGGAAAGGTGACGGTCACAAGCAAAGGTTGTTGACAAGCGTACTTACAAAAGAGGCACAATAAAATTGGCACTGCAACATCTACCCCAATGGGCAATGCATGCCAAACCTAGCTCCATTCCTTACTCTACATTGTCTCAAAAACTAATTGTCTCTCAAGTTTTGTCCCAGAAAAATTTTGTGTTCAAGTTTTCCTATCCTCCTTTTATAAACAAAATTGTAACCTTATACACACAAAATATTTATACAGTTTCTTAATATCTTATCTACTATTTTTTCAAATCATCTCCAAAAAATTTGTTCAACAATCAGCTCAATTTCTGTTTTTGTTGTTGGTTTTGTTTTTTTCCCGCCCACCACCCTCTAGTCAGACTAGGGTTAAGTTTCAGGCCTGCAGCCATCTCTTCCTCTTGTCTGAACGCAGGGGGGCACTCCAGTGGAGCGCCCAGCGCCTAGTATGGGCCACCCACATGCACTCTCTGCGCTCTCAATCACATGAAACTCGGGCCTCAGGGCCACTTCTCTGAGTAACCACAACAACCTGTGCCACCATTGCCAACCTGATTCCTTTTCAATCAATATAGAATGACAAACAAGGACCTTTAAGTAATTTGGTATGTGGTCAAACTTGATGACCAGCTCAAACATGCACTTTGTCTTGTTTGGATCTAGCTCAATTATTCCTATATCTGCCTTCATTTTGAATCTTGCTGTGGATTTCAAGTTGGCCTTCTATGCAATTCAAGAAAAGTATTGATGGTTGTACAATAAATCTCATGGGTGTGTCTCATGAGAACTCCAACAATCATCTGGCTGGACAAGCTCATAATTGCTTTCATTTAATGTGCCTCAATATGGGCTTCAGATAAATCTGCAAAACAATTTGGATTGCAAAACAGAAATTAGCTTCAGAAAGAGTCTGAAGAGGTCTGAAGCCTTCAGAGGTTTGTAAAGCAATGTATGACAGTATAGTGTCTGTACACCTTCCAGGCAAATCTGGTCTGACAAAAACCAGTTTCAGCATGGTTTCAAGTTGGCATTGTTTATCAATTTTCATATTTCAATCCTCTGAGATATCTTAAATGACTTATGAAAATAAAGAATTAAAAAACATCTCAGATGAGATCAATAAGTCTTTGTATCAGTTACCTTGGTGTGCATTGGTGAGTTGCCTAGCTGGTGGACTACAAATTTCATCAAAGGAACTTCCTGTTGTGTCTGTGAATTGGAGGCCACAAATCCTATTGTGGCCAGTTCACTGCAAGAAGTGTACTATGTCAGAGTGTGGATTGATCAGACAGATGCAATTAAGATGATTAAACTTACTGTGTTAATCAACCAACAGGTCAGCAAGCTCTAAAGAGCTGGCTGAGTTCAAAGTTGTCAGGAAGTGGCAGTTATATTCCTCATTCAAGCCTTGAGGAGGTAATCCAGGCAAAGTAAAGTAGAAAGCAAAGTGCTTGCTCCATTGTTTTGATGTATCCCCTAAGAGTTTGTTGCAGTAAAGCACCAGTCACATATATTGAATGAGATTTCTGTTAGCATTTTTGTGCCAGGGATTCTGTAAAGGCATTTTGATGAAGTTCCCAGTGCCAACATCCCCTGGGTTTTATGTGAGTTTACATGGTAGGCTGCAAGTGAGTAGATACAATACAACTCTCACCATACATAAGATCGCCACAATATTTTTTTCATGAAGACATCCTTGTGCAATTCAATTGCATTGAATACTCTCCAGAGGTCTCTTCCCAATCAATGTCATCATCAACAACGGTTTTTTAATGTGTTGCACCAATAAAGTGATCAAGGAGTAAGTCATAGACCCCCCCAATTGAACAGATCAACTTCAATGATGTACTCTGTCTTTCCAAGCTTCCATATGTGTGTCTACAATCGCTTCAAAATCCTTGATCTATTGAAAATCATCAACAATTGCCTCAGTCAGGTGCCCTTAGTATTAGAAAAACTACAATGCAGGTCCCAACTCCAAGGGTGTCCCATCGATAATTTTCATGTCGACGAGCAACAGCGTGGGGGTTTGTTGAGTTTGGGAATCATCATCATTTCTTCACTCAATCAATCAGCTCGATCTCTAGCTCAATTTGATATTTGCAACGCCATTATGCACACTTCTTTGATGATGATGGCTCACACTGTCTTGACTGATAGATCGACTCTACATATCATTGCAATGGTTCCTAATGCTTTGTTTATGAAACAGCTCTGTGTTTGCCTTCGCTCATTCATGATGCTTGTCTGAGTCTTCAATCCTCAAGGTGTCTCACAAAACCCTAAGATGTAGGGGGATATACATTCAGATTTCACTGTAGCGGAAATTTACAAGAACTACCAGAGTGCTCGTGGTTAATCAATATGATGATGTACAGAATTTGTACGTAAAGTCGAAACAAGTAGATTGAGGGTCATTTTTACGATAGGAAGAATGAAAGACCTTGGATAGTAGGCAAAGATTTGCGATGATAGTTGAAAAGAGTGCTTTGACCGAAAAATATGACTTTGTATGTGACTCTCTTGGTTGAAATTCTGCTCAAAAGAATAACTGGAGTCTTTGTAAATGATAGTATCCAATCCAACGGGAGTACACCAGTTGCAAAATCCAGCATCAGTAAGAGGTTCCAAAAAAGATCAAGTGCTCTACACACCTTACTTGCGCGTAATCTAAAGCCTAGCGACGGCAAAATTTATAGCTGCCCTCTCGCTGCTCGATCCGGCGTAAGCTAAGTGAGGGATGATGGAGCCAACAGTTTGACATATTGAGTCCCCGGTTAGGCAACAATCAAAGGTGATTGAAGAATACTGTGTAGGCATTCGAATACCAAGGAGAGAAGCAATGCCGGATCCCGTTCTCTGTTAATTGATTTCAATCAGTTAGATCAAGAGCTTCTCAAGATGAAAGAAGGTAGGAAGACTTTTGATGATTGCCTGTAGAGGTGATACTGACCGCTGAACACATATTTTGAGGCGCACCGGATGTGAAGTAAGGGTTCCCGTACAGCACAATCGCGACAATCAAATTAGGCGAAATTGATAGGTTCCTCATTGTCTGAGTTACTACCATGGCCTTTGACCATCAAGTAGGCGAACGGGGGTGGAGTCAAAAAGTAAGCGATACACATGCCATGCGATTCCAAAGACCATTCAAAGCCGACCTACACCTTCCGAATATCCAATCAAAACGTAAACTTGTTCAGGACATTGGCTTTGTTGTGCCGTCAAGTATCGATTGGCATCAGCAGCACCTTGTAATGGTCCTGTCGTGTAGTCTACTGATGCCGGATACACGACCTCGTAGTTTGCACCACCAGGTACAGCAGCTAGAACTCCGTTGATAAACCCACGATATCCTGTGGGGCGGACTTGACTCTCACCCGTACCTCTCGCACTTTCAAGAGAACGAGAAGTTAAAACCAGACTAATTGTGAATCACAAGGATCAAATATTCAAGAAAAAAAACCAAGAGAACAGGGAAAGTAGGACGTGGGAAAAGGAAAATGGAGACACATTACCTTACTATCTTGTAAGTGGTGCATCCAGTTCCACCACCAATCAATGGTTTGGCAATGAGCACTTTTAGTAAGCTTAAGCACATGACAAGAATGATTGTAGCATTGATAGAGTTCATTTTACGTTGAATATAAATTGAAGACTTCACCCAGTCAGCAAAAGGAAATAATCAAGAGCATGGCAATGAGCTCAAGACCTCTGAAGACGTGTTATGATACACTTGTATATAGGAAAAAACACTGAGCACTCCCTGCTACGCACCTTTTCAAGATCAAAACTCAAGACTTTTAGATATTATATGAAACTGTTAAGAAATCTGCAGGATTGTTGTGGAGAGCAATTCAGTGGAAGACCATGGAGCCTTTTATAATAATTGCAAAGATAGTCTCATAGAGCAAATTCATGCCGCACGTTCTCGTATCCTCATCTTCGCATTGGCTAACTCAAACTGGTCCACTTCTCAGATTGACAACTACTTTCCTTCATCGATCAACACTTATCTTATATAACCAGCACATCATTTCTGACTGAAAGAATCCAATCACGAAAGAATTGTGATATAGGTTGATGGCCGAATGAAGAATGAGGTAATAAAAGGGAAAGAAACATATGAAGGTTTTACAAGAAGAGGAAGAGGAGTTTGAAGAAACTTTAAGGGAGTTGAACCGATGCTTGTGATCAATGGGCACGGTATGTAAAAAATGTCGTGATATTTACTTTCCTGAGGATGTACTGATTGTGTTGAGCCTCGAGAGGCACAGCGATCAAATCGATATCTCAAATATCATTAGGAGGCTCGTTTTCAACGATTTTTGGAGCTCTTCTCAAAAGTGGCTTATAAATCACGTCGAAACATCTTTTTGGCGAGATCAACCATTCATTAGAGACTAAACCAAGCACCCGCACGTTGTTCAATCAAGTCATATGGGTTTCCGGTTTCTGTAGGTGAAATCACCTTTACCGCCGAGGAAGTTTCTATGAAGGCTGGTTTGATATGCCATTGCATAACTTGTCGAACCATGACATGCAAGATGATTTCTCAAGTAGTCGATGGATCGTTTATCATCTGACTCATATGTCCACTTCCAATCGATATCAGCGTCTTTCTCTTACAATTTACAGGCTAGTGCTCAATCAATTAAGATTACTCATGGTCAACCGAAAGTATATAAAGACACGACTAGTGACAGCGGCAAACCTGTTTATCGGCAGATTCCCCAAAAAAACAGCTGGAATGGGATCCATTGACCGAATGTGATTTTGTTGATCGTCAGTCGCTTAGAAGTGATTCCAGACGGAGCGATGATCAAAGTAGGTTGTATTCAAGAATCCGAATCTGTAGAGCCACAAAGCGAAGTCTATGTAGAACGTGCTCTAGAAAGTCTAGGATTGTGAGTCGAATCACAATTCTTTGAACTTGATAGCTTTTTTTTCTGAGAGGTGAAATCTTAGATTCATTCCTTGAAAGATGATTAAAATCCTAATTCGAACGCATTGTTCTCTTTGTTTTTTAGAGCTGGGAATAATAAAAATACGAAATCATTCAAAGGCATGATGAAAAAGAAGTTTGAGTAAAGCTTAATGTTAGAACTCATTGCTGCACGTTTCTTTTTGGCTTTTTTACATTATCATTTTGTTGTCAAATCCAACATATAAACTGTTAATCTTTGTATGAATCTCATAGTACAGCCATAGGTGAGTTGATGAGGCTTCCACTGTTGAATGCCATCAAAGGGGGTAAAAATCTTATCTTGCAATCCAGAATCGTGCCATCTTTCTTGCGCAAAGCCTTAATCGAGTTCAACCATACATCAAACTATGGTTATGTGCTCTTTCTAGTGTCTATAAAATTGAGGAAAGTACTTCAAATTTGCCAAGACTTTGCAATATGCTATAGCTCACATGTTCAGCGGTCGGTACCCAAGGTTTCCATCAAGTGTTGCGAGCATGACCAGCGCTTGGACTGGAAGCGCCTCAGGACTGAGTCGTGCCTGTCGTACGACATACGCCGGGCACCTATAGTTGAAATGACATTTATCACCTCCAATAATTACTGTGTTATTGCTCGCTTCACGAGAATAGGCCTCGCCAGTATTGATGCTTCATTGCCCTCGTTCGCCAGCGAGACTTTACACCAACTCGCGCTGCTCAGATGATTATGAGTCAGCCTATGTAAATTAGCTCTATGGTCATCTAGATTTGCGGAAACTTCACCTGCCTCTTCTTCCTACAGGCCCACCATGTCATCAAGAGAAACGCTTCCGTCAAGTTTGGTTTAGCTGAGTGCTTCCCTCCCTTCAATCAAAGATTTTATATGCCGTATCCAAACCGAGAGATTACAAAGTTGCCGTATACTTTATGATCAATTACTGAGAAGATTAAACCTTTCTACAAACAATGTCGTGCTCTCTCTTGAAATGAGCTACATCCATAAAACATCTTGAATTTCTTGAAGAATTTCTGCTTACTTGCTGTTCCTGATCAATGAGTGATCTTTTCTTAGACCCTTGCTAGTTGAAGTATTCGTGATTTGATTACAAGCTATAAATTTAATCAAGCTAGTTAAGTTGTAGTCTACTTGGATGATTTGAATATCTTACAATCTTATCAAGTCCTTTCGACTTGATACGTTTTATTCAGAACACAGACAAATAATCAGGTCGTAAACATATTTGAAAAATTCGATCATAGAATCAAGTTTTGATGTTGGACTGCTTACATAATTTGTGATTTAACATAGGGAACTTGTACTTTACAGTTCATTGAGACTCAAGTTTCTCAATTTAATCCCCTCGCAATGACTTCAGCTTGTGAATCGTAAGCCGGCTGTATTTTTAGCAATCAATCAGTTTTGTCCCTGTTTTTCACATTTTGAAGGAGGAGAGCAGTGGACTTACTCACTTGAACGACAGCGGAAGTGATGGTTGAAAAACGAATTGAAGAAAAGACAGGTGTACATCTTACCAATCTCTTCGTGATCATTGCAATATGTAGCCTTCATCTTAACCCGAAAGGTAGAATGGAAGGCGTAAGTCCACCCATTACCTGACCATTGTTAATTGGGAAAGGTTACTGACAAAAAGAGGCTTCTAAGAGAGAAGAGAGTCAATGATACCGTTAATATGAGCCTGTGGTCAGATATATGTCACCCCAGCGTTTTTGGATAAGCCTGTTCCCTGGCGGTGCTTGTCTCGTGTTGTTATTTGATAGTGTAGAGGCATTTTCTATGAGAAATCAAAAAGAACCGTTGAAATGATGATGTAATTTGCGTGATGGTATTTCTTCAGAGTCATCCAATCCATCTTATTAGGGTGAGATTTGGACTGCATCAGCTTGCACTTTATTGAAGAGAAAGTATGATGTTGCCTATAGTTTGGATCAGCCTGAGATATTAGTGCGAGTTGTTTGGAGTTGCTTCCACTGAGCAAAAGAGAACAATTAAACTTTAGGAATTTCCTCAGAGGTTGTTGTATACCAAGAGCCGCGATGAATGATCGACATACTGTCCAAACATATAGAGAAAAGCAGGTTTGTTAGCATACAGTACCATCACAAAGGAAAGATGGGGTTACTGAACACGAGAAATGAAACATTACAATACATTTTGAACATAATCATCCTAAGTATGTGATAACATTTCTTAGAGAGGTCACGTGTGGATCAGCTTCTAAGCTGTATGAATCGGATACAAATATCCCAACTTTCTCGGATCGCTGTTCCTCTCCATCCCAACCCTCTACCACCACCACGAGATTATCCTTTCCATAAAACCTTTTTCACTACCTCTTGAATCCTTCCCACTTTCTTCAACTTCTTTGTCATCATGAATCTCCCCAAGTTAACTTCTAGAATGATCTTCGGTCCTCGTTTTCAAAAAACCCTCTTTGTTTACTTCCCGTTGAACTTCTTCTTTGTTATCTTTTTGATTTTTGGCACTCACAAGATCTCTCCTCGCAAAGTTCCAGAGTTGTTCATCCTTAAACTCATCGCTAAAAAATTGTACATCATTCTTCCTTGGGCTTATTTCTATGCTCATATTCTTTACTCTCGCCACGACACTCTTCCAAAGAAGTGTTCGACTGATCCTGAGAAAGATATCGAACTCGGTCCAGTAGCTCCTCTTCCGAAACCTCTCGATGCTCCAATCCCCCACCTCAAGAACCGAACTCCACGAAACACCCTTCCAGCCGAATTTGTTGAAATTGATCTAGGTATGTTATCTTTCCTACTGTTCTTCTTTCTCATGATTCTATAAACTAGTCTAACAAACTCTTCAATTGCTTCTAGGTGAAGGTCCCTCAAACTGCGGTCTTCCTGGTTCTCCTCGACCTTTTTCAACATGTGAAGTTTAAAGAACTTGACTCGATTTCACCTTGGTATGTTATCTCTGCCTTCATTTGTCATCTATTCATCTTTCCTGAGAGCGAATTCATTATTTGTTTTGATCAATCTAATCCTTTTGACCTTTCCCAATTCTCTTGTGGCTTGACAGGCGATGCGTTCCTTCATCTATTTCCTTATCTCGATGGCTTGTTTTGTGACCATTCCATTCTCTCGTTTGAAATGTGTTCTTGTTGTTATTGTTTTGCGATGATGAGTAGGAGTTTACTTTTTGAACATATGTATCGAGTCGTTGCCGATATTTGAATCAATTAGTACTTTGAATACCCTCACTCTGAGCTCCTTTACTTCTATCTGTCAATCTAATCTGTAATCGAAAGATATATATCAACATCTCTTTTCAAATGCTTTGAAGTGGCCGAATGGATAGGGATTTCAAAGATACCAAATTAGTAGCTTGCTTCGTCCATCATAAGGCTACAATTGTGAGAATTGGTTTGTGCAACGTTTGCCATATTCAGAGGGCTTTGCGTTTCTCCACTGTCACCGAGAAAGATATCAAGCTTGGTCCAGTAGCTCCTCCTCCAAAGCTATCGATGCTATGTTTTCCACTCTTTCAAACCAAACTCCCCAAAAGTCGCCTCCACATGAGTTGCTGAGGTCAATATAGGTATGTATACAGTCTTTTGTTACTGAGTTTGCTTCTTTTTGATCGTATTCTGATGTTTTCCTTCTCCATCATTCTTTTTAGGCGAGTGTCTCCTCCTCGACCTGTCC